ATCCACGTCTATGGACGCGTCTCTGAGACACATGGTAAAAGGCAAAGACGTGTTCAATTCAACACTCGATGTTAGATGCAGGGTAAACTGTTCGGATTTCCCCGGCGAGAGAAGTATCGGGAAGCGCGGTAGTTCCACAGTGAGGTGTTCGTTGTTCTCGCGCAGATCGTCGAATTGAAATTTGGCGGTCAACCAACTGTCGGTTAGCGTTGTGACTGTTACCGTGACGGGGCAGCTTACGCCTGAAATTATTATTTTCTTTAGAGATTAAGTTTCTTTCAGTCGACTTATATGTTACATAAAATGTGGCACTAAAATCACTATTCTGAAATCTCAGGCAATGAGCCGTTATATGGCATCTGAAGCGCTTCAGAGACCAAAGGCTTTGCGGGACCGTTAGTCCCGCCGAAACAACAGATAAGAAGTAGGGTATAAAAAAATTGCAGTTGCGAATAAGGAGAGCTTACCAACGAATCCATTAGCTGCTGTCGACACAATATCTGCCAATTGTTCTGTAATCACAATAGAATTCACTCTGAGACTGATTACTTTTCTAAATAATTTAATTCTAATATATTATCAGTAAAATAATGGTGTATTAGATGGTTACTTGATGATGGTTTAGACGTGGCTTGGCATTTTTTTTAATTATTGGTTATTTTGGTGAAGATGCGTGTTAATAGCGAGTTAGTTTATTAATTTAGACCCAGTAAGAGTGCGCCCCACCAACCTTTAGCCAAGCCCTCCTGTTTCAGACGCTTCTGAAGTAAGACCTCGTGCCAATCTACGGATCTATCTAACTCTTTGTACTCTACGTTTGGAGAGGGTGCATGGGATGTATTAGGCTCGCCTGAAATCGTAACTACGCTTATACTGATGGTAGAAGACAAATTTTGTCATAACAAATTAATAAACGACAATGCAAACACGTTAAAGGAACTGTATCTATAACAAACTAAATAAAACCGACATTATTTTACATTATAACTAAGATTCATACAAAATTACATTGCTGCAACTTTCTAATAAAATTCAAATGCAAGGAGGTACATAAAATTTAAAATCATGTCATAGTTTTTATTTAATATTTAGATCAATAAAAGGTTTTCTCTAAGTTTCAATTATCTACAGGGCTGTTTCTGAAAATAGCTCCATATCACGACCAAACACTTGCAGGACATTATAGCATTCTCATACTACAAATAGGTGAAGTAACATACCTTTACTACTATGCAGAGGGCTGTCTCCAGACTTGAAACTTGTGAAATTCTCCTGAACCGTACTAAGAGTGGACTGGCTTTTACTGGACGGTGACTTAGATCTAGTCTGCCTTTGTTTCATTTTGACATCCTCTTCACTTGGCGCCTCACTTCCAAGCGTATGTTCGGTAACTACCAACGCTGGGAGATCTTTGGGTTCATCGCTACTTATTTTCAACTTATCAAGAGCTATGACAGTGTTAACACTGCCGGCAGAGCTAGCTGTCACAGACTTCTTTGAATCTCTTAAAGTTGCGACCTGAACTTGATTGGCCATTCTGTCTTGGGTGTTCATGTGAAGTTCTGTTAATGGTTGCTTGCGGTTTATAGCTCTTTTGGAATTGCCAAGCTGAAGCATATCTGTAACACTTACATTGGATTGTTTACCTGAAAAAGAAATCAATATTAAAGATCATATTTTATGTTTCGTCTTGCAAAGAAATAATGTAAAAACATGATTTTTTATAGTAATTTACCAAGATAGTCTGCAATTTTGGAGATGCTCAGTGAATTTTCAACGGATCCTTCAGTGTCATCGGTTATCATTCTTAGTGAAGACTGTAGATTCCTGAGCAAAACATCTGTAGGCTTAGATGAACTGAAAGTTTTTTGACTGCTTGTCACTGGGTTAAGTGTAGATGTAGAACCATATTTGTGTATATCACTATTTATTGTTGGATTCTCAATTTTTGTAGTTAATCTGCCACTAAATGCGTCGTGTTGGGAACTCACTACATCACAATTGTTCTGTTTCTCCATTATGGTGCTAAGATTATTAATAATACGATTTTCAGGTACTTTCTCAGTGGTGCGAGACTGTTTCACTGGTACACTGTCTAGGGTCTGATCCATTTTGTACACATTTGTTTCTTTTCCTGCATACTCTAATGCTGTACTTGAAGAAACTGAAAAAAAAAATGTAGAGGTAAACAGATGTTCGCCGTGTGGTGACGGCAGAGTAGAATACATTTGTCACCAACCCCTACTCTTCCCGCGGGTGTCGTAAGAGGCGACTTAGGGTCTACACAACAAACAGAGAATGGGCAGCAGCGCTCTCTGAAAAACATCAATCTTTTAAACTGCGATCTCCAACCCGCCTGCCAAGCGTGGAGATTATGGCAAATCCCTACACCATAGTGGAGGAGGCTCATAGTCCAGCAGTGGACTGTAAAGGGCTGTTGATGATGATGATGATGAAACAGATGTGTTTTTAAGTTCATGAACTAAGTTCACAAGAGAACAGAGACAGACAGAAAGAACTATCAAATACGCGAATAGTAAGAAAACAAATATCTACCTTCTGTAATACTTGGACGAAACAATGATCTGTCAGGGCTATCAGTCTTTCCCAACATTTTACCAAATTCAGGACATCTGTGCTTGAAGTATGCCCCCACCGACATATTTGAATTGTTAATTCTAAAATAAAACAAAAACGTTTTTAGTGATAAATTAAGTGATATAAGTTGACCCTCTTTTCTACAATAGATTAAACTTTACTTAAAATAATCAGTCTTACGTAGAGTTATCAGCGAAATTATTCTGAGTGTTTGGCACGGGAAGAGGTGCTTCTCTCATCATTAATGATGCCTCATCTGCTGTCAGGTCCCTCTGAAACAATTATCACAACAACATTAGAACTTATAGATAAATTAAAAACTTACAAATGACTTATCTACAATGTTTTCTATAGTACTTATTGCAAGTAAAATAATTTTCAATATCTGATCGTTGTTAGACTTTAGCTACAATTTACCAGCTACATTATTTAACTTTTATCGACAAGGGGTAATTGTATAGTTTCAAATTATGTAAGAAATTTTAAACCATTGACACAAACCTTTGAATGAAACGAATAATTAGTTGCAATTGAATGTCTCATGATATCATTAATCTCCGATGTTTGCTTGTCCATCTGGTTGGTGATACTGTCCAGGACTGAGGAATGTCGTCCCAGGTCCTCAAACGTTCTGGTCGTTCCCAGATCAATCATAGGCTTCACCTCCTCAGTGCCAGTGGACCGACCCGTCATCTCTCCAGGATTAAAAGCAGTCTGTGAAAGTTAATTATGTGTTTTCAATAAACTACAAAATGTAAAAACTATCGAACTAATTTTTTTATTTACTCACAATTGAAAAAGTTGTTTTAAAGGTATAAAAAAGTCCCAGATCATAATACAACTGATAAAATCATGATCAATATTTATTTAGGCAGACAATTACAATACTTACAGATTTACTCAGAGAAATATTGTCAATTCCAGACTCTCCAAACCCTGCAATAGAGAATGGGAAAACTTATAATACATTATTATGGAGTTAATTAAATTCTGATTCATTTAAGTAACAGAGAAGAGAAAGTCCTACCTTCAACTTTGTCCAAATCTAAAATACCTGATGAGGACTCATAATTTGTGCTGGTTTTATTCATTGAAGCTCCTGGATTTGCAGTAAGGCTGTAAAACATAAGAATGGTGTTACTTAATAAATACAAATAATTACACCTAGATATTCGGAGTTCTTTAATTAATTAAACAGAAAACATTGACTCATCTGAGTACGCATGTACGTAATTAAGGTTACATGAAGAAAACTAGTTAAAAATCTGATAATGCTGGTGACAACTAGTAAAAAAACAGTGCCTTTGTATATTCTTGTATTCACTTCCAGACCAATTATGATTCTAGCATTTTATATTATGTGTAACATGGGTAATTAGGTAAGTATATACTCTATAATTAACTGTACATAAGTACTTGTTTTAATCAAATAGCGGCTGTTAGAAAACCCAAACAGAAACTTACCGTTTCAAATCTTCATCGTTTAGTAAACATCGCCGCGAGAGATTGAAAGATTTGTCTTCTGCTAAATGGATAAGTCTTCGTATCTTATTTGGAGTTAATGGATTATCCATATTTCAATCACAAAATATCAGAATAAATCGTCAGCAATACACCACAACAAAATGTTCGTTGATAAATTTCAAATCGTTTTAAATTTTGACAGCTGATGGGCTGGCAACAGATGTAACTTTGACAACCAATTGTACCAACCACAGATATGGATGTACCAACTTTGTAATATGAAATGAGGCCCTCTGACATGATGCAAAAATTATTTGAATGCAATTGAATAATCGATTACATCTAAGCTTTCAAATCTTAGTGGTAGGTAAGGTGTTTATGAATACTTTCTAATAATAACAGTAAGGCGAAAAATCTTTTATAATAAATTCTAATAAAACCAAGTCAATAAAAATACCTAATAGCACTTTTCTTTTGTTATATTATGGTCAGCCCTGGTCAGCCCTAAGAGTAACATAGTCAGTCAGCTTTGAAGAAACAGTTCAAATCTGAAAACATTTAATATTCATAATGTTAATCAAGTAATAAGATGTTTAATCCATACTAATATTACATTCATATTCCTTCCCCTTCATACTTAATTTAAAACAATGTCCTCTCCATAGGTTGTCTGGAAGAAATCGCTTTATAGCGATAAGACCTCCTAAATGGTACTGTGATCTATTTCTTTTTGCTCTATCTGTTACATTACTCTGAAACCGTTCATTAGGGTCAGCAGATCAGGTGATGCATACTCTTAGTGCAAGCAAGCAGAATGCTTGACATATAAATTGGTCAACTTTCATCAGATACGTATTAGGCATAGAGGAAGTAGGTAATAAAAGTCGGTATTTGTAATCATAATTACATTTATTATAACTAGGTATGCATTTAGTGATAGATTACCACTTGTACAGCAGTTTACAAATTATTGTAGAATATAATATTACAGCCATTCTAATATAATTTTAACCTTAGATAAATAATGTAGCCAATAATAACAAAAAAAGTACATGAAGTAACATTGTTATTGTTACAATATTTGTAGATGATTTACTATTAAAAGATAAAATTGTAAAGTATTTTACAATTGTGTTTATATTCTTAGCTTGTATTAGGGCCCGTCAATGGCAAAGCATTTATCTCCTTGTTTAGCCTGATTTGTTCATTAATTGCTCTCCAAGCATCTTCCTTCTCTTTCTTAGTAATTGGTCTCTTTTTCTGCTTAGCTGCTACCATCTTTTTGTAAATATCAATACATTCCATATCAACTTGATCTAGCTGTTTCTTCAAGTTGAGTCTAATCATCTCTTGCTTACACAGTCCAATGAGGTTTTTAAGATTGCGGCAGTTATCTTTTCTAACTGCAGTCAATTCAGTCTGGCACTTCTTTATTTCTGCTAGAATTTCATCATCTGCAGGGTTTGTAAGAGGTGGCAAGTCTTCTGGGTCTAAAATCCCTTGCTCCACCAATTCCTTCCTCAAACATTTCTCTAATGTTAGTGAGTTCTTGTAACTATTCTTAGTGTTAGGGATTTGTTTAACATTTATGTCAGGTACTTCATAAGGCATCACATTTTCTTCCATCAGTGCTGAGACAAGTCTTTGAGTCAGTGGACCTGTAATCATGTTTTCATTTGATTTATTGTCCAACTTTTTACGAATGCTCGATGCATCAGGAGACATCCCAGATTTATGTCTGTTGAGGCTTGAGGCATTTTGGTCCTCGGTCAGATGTTCATCAGCCCACACCTCCGAGTAATGTCTCCCTAGTGGAGGTATAGGTGGGAGGGTCGTGTTACTGCTCTGTGCCAATAAGGATTCCAAAAATTTTATATCATCCAGTGTGATTGGAGCACAATAAGGTTCTACAGAATTCCAGAATTTGTATGGAATGTTATTCTTTGGCAATGCAAACTGTGACATTTCCAACTTCACAGAATTGTCAGAATTTAATGGATCATTTGGATAGCTGTGTGAAGCTCCGGAGGTATTTGAGAAGTTTTTAAACTTAGGTACTTTTGGTTGGTTGGATAATTTTGTGTAATCTTTGGTCTTCACTAATTTGTTGTCTTCCATGAATTTTCTTTTGACAGGGTACTGTAATTGTTTACCAGCAGCTTTACCCTTCTTTTCTCTCTTAGATTCGTTGGTATCAATGCTGTCGATTTCTGATTGAAAATAGCGTATTCGTAAGGCAGTGTTGCACAGCAGGGACTCCAGCTCCAGCTGCAGGGCATCCAGCTCGTCCATCCCGATCGGCTCGTCCGAGGAGCGCGCAGCGATCGCCGTAAACCTTGGAAGATGCACGGCATTATCTTGAATTTTAGTATACGGTATTGGACAAGTTTCAACCTTGATTTTACCAGCAGAAACAGATCCTGGTATTTTTGCAGGCTTATTGTAAGGCGAAATTCCCGGACTCGAAGGCTTCCCGCCATCGTGACCCTTGCTCGCCAGCCTGCCTTTGCTGTTGTGATGCATCCTCTTTCCCAACATCTTGATACAATCAAATTTGCCCGCGTAAACACTTCAAAGATGCATACGTACTGTCATGTCATGCGTCACAGTTACGCCCAATTTCTTTATCAATCAAATTCCTTATCCATTCTGCACGCAATTAAATGTATTTACTTAGCAGGAATGCACTATTTTACGTTGGGTCTTAATTAATTATGCAGTTTTACCAAAAATCGAACTAAAATACCACGACAACGATAAACGAAATCTGACAAGTAAGAACAATATGGCGGCCTTAGGGATGCTCGACCCTAGACTCATTTTTCCCGATTTTAAATATTCTTTGTCTTTCCCTATCTTAGTTATTTTAGAACTTGTGATTGATAACGCTCGCTGTATTAACTTGTTCAGCAAGCAATTTATTCAATCTAATAGAGTTCGTTAGTCTTAGAAAGAACGAAGGTAAGTAATATGAGAAAACACTACTGTGGGCATGTTAAAATTCTAAATGTATTTGTTATAATATTCACTGTATTTATAACGATTTTAAGACAAAACAAAAATTCATATTTGAGACTTACACATAATATTTAAAACATACCTAAATTTTAAGTAATTAACACAAAAGTCAGGAGGGAATACTATGAATGCTGGTAACCCAGAAAAACTATAGGCCTGGACATCCATACCGGTTTTCTGACTCGTATCGTTTTTTATAAACTTCGAGTAGAAAATGGATTAGGAGACGACCTATTACATTTATTTGGTTCTTGTTTGGGAAGGTATCTAATGGATAAAACATAATGCAAATGCATTGCATAAATTAATTTTTATTGAAATTAAAAGAAGAGTTAAGATTCTAGATTATTTTCTAGATCTATTGGCTCATTAATTTATTTTGAGTTTAGACATAAAACCGGATATATAAAATGACGTGATGGCTTCCCTATCCCTAATTTGTCAGTCTTTCCTTCCTTACTCTTTGGTTTAGTCTGACATCTACTGTCATTTATGACAGCGTAATTTCTCTTTGGTTTTTGCAGGACGTGAATTCGGTGCTTTCTTCACGTTATTAACAAATTAGTGTGAAGTTCCTGAGTTATAAAATGATTTTGTGTTGAGAATTTAGATGCGAACTGAATGTAGCACCTTGGACATGCAATGAAAGTTATTTTGTTTACAAATTTCTTTAGGTGCATTACGACACCCAAGTGCTCACTTGTGAGCCCTAAGAGTATGATTGAAATGAAGTAAATGTATGCAATAACTTCTCAACAAAATGGGAGACATGAGTTTGAAATGCCCACTCTGCTGCAATCAGACTTTTGATTCAAAATTGTCACTTGTAGAGCATTTGGCGAATATATTATCTAATCTAACTTGTCCTATTTGCGAGAATAGGTGGTCATCGTTGGCCCATCTTATAGAACATTTGAATCTTGACGATTGCCAAAGTCAAGCCATCCACATAAAAACTATAGATGAGTCTGAAGAGGATTCAGTAATAAATCCCGCACCTCCTTCAAATCCAAGTGAGAATGACAGTGGTAAGTGGGTTTACTTAATCTGAAAAGTACATAAACATTGTCCCCATCCCCTAAAATATTTGTTTTTTTTTTTTTAGAAATTCGAATCGAAAATGTAACCACTGTTGAAACTGTTAATGAAAGTGTGGAGAATGAAAACTTTGTGAGTAGCATACCAACTGAGAATAGTCACATAGAAATAAAGCTTACTACTGACGGTCTAAATGATGGGAAAATGTATGTGGAGTATGTGAACCATGATAAGTTGAACTCATGCTTGCAAACCCAAGAGCTGAAACTGTTGACGGAGGATGGTGAGATGGAACAGTTTGTGGTGATGTCACCGAACAGTGGCGAACTCAGTTTGGGGGGTGCCATTGTCACGAAACAGAATGAAGATGGAACCATCTCCCTAACTACAGTTAAAGGTAAGTTATCATTTTTTTTTATAATTAGTTATTAGATATTCCAAGTGATTTTCTGATGAAATCATAAAAATCAATAAGGCTTCTCGAAGTTTGCAAAAGTAACATCTATATTTATAAAAGGGAAATGTCACTGATTGACTCACTCACTCACCACACATACGTAGTCGCGGATGGCCGCTAGTATTTTATATGATGTGTCAACCCTATGATTTCAGATACAAAAGAGTCTGAAACTGTGATCACACCGGCTGAAGTGGAATTGGAAGACACTCCGGAGCTGTACAGCTGCAACACGTGTGGGGTTTCGTTCTCCTCTGTCGCCGAACACATTCAAAACTATCACAATGATCAAGAAGTGGTGGTTGAGGTAACTTTAACTTAGATAATACTCAACTTGGTGCTCAGCTTTTAAATCTTCTTTGGATAGTTCTTTGTTACACAGACATCAATTGCTAGGGTAATATTTTTTGTATAATAATCAGAAAGAGACATGAAATTACCAAATCAGTATGCCCCAGTTCATGAATTACTTACCATAATAAAAAAAATACCTCCCATATAGTTTTTGCTTGCAGTTGTCTCCAAGTTCTACATATTTTATACTTACTGAATGAATGACACTCATATTATTACACTTTAATTTCTTTGAATAGATAAACATTACTTACATTTTTTATCTTAGGAACCCATGGAGGATGATTCCAGTGCAGTGGTTGAAACACTGCAGTATGACACTCTGACCAGTGAAGTAGTGACACCTCCCAAGCCCAAGACAAGGCAGATTATCACTGAAAATGGTGATATAGTGGATGCACCCTTTATAATTGATAACCCTCCTGAAACTGAGGAGTTTATAGGTAACTTGAGAAACAATATTGATTTGGTTTTCTAGATCCATTTTGGTCCCAGTTATATTACAGTCAACAGCACATTATACAATAAATTTTTGTTGCAAAATAAAATTGCTATTTCAACTTAATAATATGCTTCAGTGCTTACCTTGATATGCTGTTGTCTGTACAATTTATATTACATTAATATGTCTTATGTTTATTTATTAATAGTTTCTTTTCTCATTTGTTATTCTATTTTTTTCAGTTCCAAATGTGGTTGAGAAACCCAAAGCGAAAGGGAAAAAGTTTGTACAAATTGATAAATTCTGTGATAGTCTTGTAAAGAATATTTACCAGATTAATGGTAAGTAAATATTTCTACAATCGATGAAAGCAAGCTTAAAAATAAAACCATATAAAATAATCTAGCATGATCAAGCATCTAACAAGGAGGTTGATTTTTTGAGTAATTATTTACCCTTTCCATGCATGAAATCCTGCAGTGTAAGATTTTAATTGTTTCAAAACCTTTTTTCAGAAAAGGATGGCACCTACCACAAAGTGATTATGAACGAATCAAAAGCACCCGATGGCACCAAACTTAAAACATACTGGTGTTTGTCTTGTGAGATCAGTGTCAGTAATTTAGACGATTTTAAACTGCACCCTTGTAAAGTTTGTAAGTATATAATTTCTGGATTTAAAGTCATGTAGGTATACTTACTATACTTGACCTTCATTGGTTGGGTTTTTATGGCGGTCAGGCTGTAGATCCTGGCTACAGGGGACTTGCAGCCGTGGGAACGAGAGGTGGGAATAGTCCCGATTACTATACTTATGAATTGTATTTTATTAGCTAAGTAAAGAGTTTATTTGCGCGCTAATCTCAGGAACTTTCTTTTTTGGTTTTGTAAAAGATTATTAGTATTTTGTTATTACACAAATTACTAATAGCCCCGTTAGCCCCTCGTACTAAGCTAAATATGCTTGTATCACGACTGAGCTCACCACAATGGTGGAGCGGCGGCGACCGAACCCGCCTTCCCCGGATCACGAGTCTGCCAGTCGCACCCCTTCACCGTTCTGCTATCGAGGCTTCTGGAACTGAACTTCTGGTCCAATTCAATATTTATTTTTGTATTGGATAGCCCATTTATTGAGCAAGACTATGTTCTATATACCATCGCACTACGACCAATAGAAGCAGAGCATCATTGAAAATACAATTTTGTAAATAATCAACCTTTTTTTTTTCAGTAAAATATCAATGTGTATATTGTTCTGTTGCTTATTCCAATTCTAAATCATTGTGTGCTCACATGAAGGTACACAAGGTGAGACCAGGTAAGATATTTACAATTAAATAATTTGGTACTTTTATTGTTTTGTTATTAATTTAATTTTTTTTTAAAGATGGAATGAGTATCGATTTACCGCGCCAAGACATACCCACGCGCTATGAATGTGAGATCTGCAATACAGCCTTTCAATCAAATAAATCGTTGAAATTGCACAAGAGAATGCACGATCCTGTCAAGTAAGTATGGTCGTGGAATTTAAGTCTAAGTACATTTTACGTTGTGACAAAGAATGGGTACTGTTGAACGTCGACGCCATTTCTCTTTAGGCACCACTCACACTTAGGGATATTCCGATACTAATAAATACGAGTAGGTACTCGATACTTTCGATTCGATACCAAGTATTGTATCGAATCAATTTTGCGATAAATAATCGGTATCGAAACAAAAATACTTGGTATCGAATCGAATCAGCAAAACAACCGAAAACAATAAAAAAAACCGAGAACGCATCATACAGAACTGAGAGAGCAAAAACAGTCAGCTAATCAGCTTTAATCGGTTACCGAGTTACCGGTATTCGTCGCGTGGCGGCGTGAGTGACGCGTTGTCTCGCGCTGGACCAGCCGAATTCGTCCGACTTCAGCCGAGCCACCCGGAGACACCCGCACCCGCCCGCAAATCATCTCGCCATTCCGCCATTGTGAAAGTGTTAAGTGATTGTTTACAAGTAATTTTCTTCTCAATTTTGTTTAAATTATTGTCCTTCAACGTTCATTGATAGCACCCTCAAAATAATAAAACAAAATAAAAGTTCCAAAAAGTATCGATATCAGTAACTATCGATACTTTAGGAGTACTTATTTAAGTAGTATCGAAAAAAGATTTGAGTATTATCGAAATGAGTAGGTATCGATACTTAGGTGGTATCGGAACATCCCTACCCACACTAGCGTCTTTTGAACGTTGTCGACACGGCGCACAGTAGTTTGAATTTAAAAATAGGTGGACATACGATCGAAAGTCATAATTTCACCGAAACAAAAATTGATTTGGATAGCATTTTGAATGCTGATCAACATTTGTCATTATGCATTTTTCGATAAAACGAGCCTTTCATGCTTAAAAAAAATATGACAAGAAAATTTGTATGGAGAAAAATCTTTTTTATTTTTTTTCTGGCTACTGTTGCAAACTGTAGCGGTCAAACCTTATGTAGTCGTAAGTACCTATGGTGCCTAACATTACTACATAAATACTTTTTGCGGGCACGCGCGGCCAAGCAAGTAATGGACATGCAAAATTTTAAATATTTTTATTTATTCATTATTGATTTTAATGCACTTAAAGTAATTATTAATAGATAAATATACTTCGTCTAACTTACTACAGCTCCCTATTACCTCATTTCACGCTAAAACCTTTCAAACTAGAACCTAAGTTTGTAGGTACTGGTAGTCTAAGTTGTTTTTATTGTCATTATAATATTCACTACTGGTCTACTGGTTATCGTGTAAGATAGATTAGGTAGATATCAACCCTTTACCTAGGTATATACCTACTTCTTGGCACTTATAATACCGACATACATGATTAAAAAAAGTCTTCAAGCAAGAACCCTTGACTTCAATGGTTATGAAAGATTTTTTAACTTTCTAGAGTAGTCCTGAATAGATCCTTAAATCATTTTGACTGTCATAATCGATTACAGTAGGTAGTGGGTTCAGTAAGGGTTTCAACCCATATAGTAAACAATACATTTTTATGGCTCTCCATTCAGTTAGTCAAATAATTCCATCATAAATGGAAATATCCGTAACCCTCTTCTACACATTATTCATCATCCATCATCATTTCAACCATAGAACGTCCACTGCTGAACATAGGCCTCCCCCAATGATTTCCACAATGGCCGCTTGGTGGTGCTCTGCATCCAGCGCCTTCCTGCTACCTTTATGAGGTCGTCGGTCCACCTTGTGTGGTGGACGTTCTACGCTGCGCTTTCCGGTACGTGGCCTCCACTCCAGAACCTTGCTGCCCCATCGGCCATTAGTTCTGCGTACTATGTGCCCTGCCCATTGTCACTTTAGCTTGCTAATCCGTTGGGCTATGTCAACGACTTTGGTTCGTTTACAGATCTCCTCCTCATTTCTGATTCGATCTTGTAAAGGAACACCGAGCATAGCCCTCTCCATAGCACGTTGTGCAATTTTGAGCTTATTTATAAGGGCCTATATTGAGAGGCCACGTTTCCGAGCCGTATTGCCACACATTATTGCACATCCATTATGTACACCTCTCCTATAGTTTTATATGCCATCTAACGTACACAAAAACTGCTGTTACATGGTGCAGATAATGTGATAACATTTTGGTGTACTGCAAACCTGCCTATTGGATTCTTTCGGAAAAAGTAAGTATGTGAGTGACTTTGATTATTTTAAACACTCTGATCAAAAAAAGTGAATAGGCTAAAATATCTTTTTTTGATTGTTTTTCGAACGAAGATAATAATTGAAGACATGAATGGAAGAAGGTGATAAATGTCGGATTTCAGATTTTTCTCAGTTCGATGATTGGGTAAAGGTATGCTTTATGCTTTATGTTTGAGGCTACTTATAAAGGTGTTATGTACGTTATCTTTTTAGACGAAGGGAAAGAAACTTACACCTCTTTAAAGGAGCCAAAAAAAAAAAGAATATTTTTGCGAAAGTACGTATAGTTCCAAAATACTGGACTGTCCTGTCGATGACATTGACAGTGGGGCGCCACCGTCAATACCGGATCGCTGGTTCAGATTTTTGCCATGTTGGAAACCATATAGTTGAACGATGGTAGCGCCCCCCTGTCATTGAGTTTGGTGGGACAGTTCAGCGTGGGTCATCTATATAAGACTATTCAACAGAAGAACTGGAAATTACAGTTCCGCTACCTACTGTAATCGATTATTAGGTACAGTCAAAATGATTTAAGGATCTATTCAGGACTACTCTAGAAAGTTAAAAAATCTTTCATAAGCATTGAAGTCAAGGGTTCTTGCTTGAAGACTTTTTTAATCATGTATGTCGGTATTATAAGTGCCAAGAAGTAGGTATATACCTAGGTAAAGGGTTGATATCTACCTAATCTATCTTACACGATAACCAGTAGACCAGTAGTGAATATTATAATGACAATAAAAACAACTTAGACTACCAGTACCTACAATCTTAGGTTCTAGTTTGAAAGGCTTTAGCGTGAAATGAGGTAATAGGGGGCTGTAGTAAGTTAGACTAAGTATATTTATCTATTAATAATTACTTTAAGTGCATTAAAATCAATAATGAATAAATAAAAATATTTAAAATTTTGCATGTCCATTACTCGCTTGGCCGCGCGTGCCCGCAAAAAGTATTTATGTAGTAATGTTAGGCACCATAGATACTTACGACTACATAAGGTTTGACCGCTACAGTTTGCAACAGTAGCCAGAAAAAAAATAAAAAAGATTTTTCTCCATACAAATTTTCTTGTCATATTTTTTTTAAGCATGAAAGGCTCGTTTTATCGAAAAATGCATAATGACAAATGTTGATCAGCATTCAAAATGCTATCCAAATCAATTTTTGTTTCGGTGAAATTATGACTTTCGATCGTATGTCCACCTATTTTTAAATTCAAACTACTGTGCGGCGGGCCAACGCATTTTTCGGACTAGTGACGTAACCTGAAAGTTCGAAAGACGCTAGTGTGGAGTAGAGCTTATGGCCTGGTTTCCACTAAGGCGGAGCGGAGCGGAGAGTTTTGAATGACTAATATAATTATTTTCCAGTTCTCTTCTCCGCTACACACAGCTCCGCTCCGCACCGCCGCCGCTTTTAAATTCTATAAAAAAAGACGGCCCGAGTCTTCCCCGCTCCGTTCCGCCTTGGTGGAAATCGGGCCTATACCGCTGTTTGTATAAGTTTAAATTGACCAAATATTTTATTGTGTTCCTTTAATTTTGTCAATAGTTACCCTTGAAATGTCTTGAAAAAGCAGTGAGTACTAAAGGTGAAAACCTATTTTTTTTTTTTCGTTCGTTAGTTTCAGCCAAATGACGTCCACTGCTGGACAAAGGCCTCCTCCAAGGTTTTCCACAATGAACGGTCGTGCGCTGCCCGCATCCAGCCTCTTCCCGCGACCTTTACCAGTTCGTCGGTCCACTTATAGTAGGAGGCCTGCCTACGCTACGTCTTCTAGCCCATGGTCGCCACTCGAGAACATGAACATTTTTTTTGTTAATTAAATATTTTCTCCACACAGGGCTCGCCAAATAGAACCGCCAGTGGAGAACGCCGACGGCACAGAGACCAGTAACTGTAGCTACAAGTGTCCGATCTGCGAGAAGATGATTCCGATGGACTACCTGGCCATACACCAGGAGTCGCACAAGTCGAACGAGCTCAACTGCCATATATGCAACAAGAAGTTCTACTCGACAGAATACCTGCAGATGCATATGACTGTCCACAATATGGATAAGGTGAGTAGTGGCAAGAGTAAGATTAATTTGCGCCCGAACTTAGTGTAAATTATCATCATCATCAGAGGTTATTATGCCCGTTTTCACCATCAATCCCTATTTTTTAAGTGACCCTAATACTTAACAGGAATTTCGTTTTCATAGGGGTCACTTAAAAATAAGGGATTGATGGTGAAAACGGGTATTATGCCCGTTTTCACCATCAATCCCTAATTTTAAGGCGACCTTTAAATAATATTAGGTATAGCCTGACCAGGAACATAAAAACCCTCGCCATGTTGCGGAAAACTAATGGTACTAATTTCTTTTAATGGCAACAGTAACTGAAAACTTCATTGACATTTCACCTTGCATGTCAGTCTATTGCTGTCAATGTGTAAACAAACTTTATTTTAAATGTGCGCAATTGATTTTGTGAATTAAATTGCTAAAATATTTTTATAGTCGTGAAAGAAAAGTGGTTCACAATGTGTTAAAGTATTTGTCGAAGAGAAATACTAAGGGTTCGGAATGGGTTCGGACAATATTTTCATTGAATAATGTTTCCGACAAAGGTTGTCAAATTGACTGACATGTTTATCGTATAGTACAGTCCACTATGAAAATTAGCTGTGGTTTGTTTCAACTACCTATTTTAAAGTTTTTTGTCACTTTCTAAGTGTTGAATTTTATGGAATTGGGAAAGAAGTACCGAGTTTGAAGCGTTCATGAGCAGACATTGCAGTTGAATATTCAAGTTCTGAATTTGATTATTGACGAATAATTGTGGGCAAGTAAAATTATAACCAATTTATCTTTTTCCTTGAGGGAAAAATTTGCTTCATTTCTTTTTTCCATTGTCGTTTTTATCGTTAAATCGCAACTACACACAGAACTCAACAAAATATCTATCAAAATCAATTACATTTTTATTTTCATTTATTGTGGTGCAGCAGTCATCTTGACATTTACTTTTTTTAAGGCAAAGGAATTACATTATGCACCCAAACCACAGATTACATAATAGCCCAAATATCTTTTTTGTCTTTAATAATAACTCAAAAATACAAAAAGACATCAGTTTTGGTCAACTATTTCTTAGTTTTACTTTTATTTCATTTGTTTCTGTGAAATACGTAAGATATTCCCAATAAAAAATTTTATCGGAAAGTACCGGTTTTTCAAACGTCACTAGGCGCACGAAGAAACGCCACCTGACAAAAGAGTCCCTACTTAGGTTTACTATAGCATGGTGAAAACGAACTTAGGTTAGTGGGCAGTTTAGGCGATCGTTTAACCAAAGTGATATTTAGTTAGCAAACGCTTAAGGGATCGATGGTGAAAACGGGCATTAGTCTCCTATCTCGACCATCTAATTTACCAGAGGCAAATGGAGGATTTAGCTTACACTTCTCTCAACTCCTTATGGTAGCCACACAGGTTGAAGAGGCTGATTATACTTCTGTAAAATCTACCATATATTCATTCATGTCCCAAATGGTCTATATTTATTGTGTTTATGTTTCCGTTTTATCCCAAGAATTTAAGGAAATCACATTGAAATAAAGTATAACAGGACCTCTTCTACAGTAACCTTATTATTTGCAGATAACAGTGAACAAATCAGACAAACTGCTTCCGTATAGCTGTTCCTACTGTAACAGACGGTTCGTGAGGCCGCACGAAAAGGTCAAACATGAACGAATACATACAGGTGCGCTAACACATATTTTATATTAGATTTATTATATTAATTGAGGGAAGATTCCTGCACAGAACCAGTATGCGGTCCAGTGATTTATCCGTGACATAGGTTTTGTGATCTATGTGCCGCATGTACGGACATTAAACGTTGTGACATCTCTATGTAATGAGCTAGTAATTGGCGCTGAAGCGCTAGGAGGACTAACGCATTTGCACTACCTAGGATGGCGCCACTGTAGAGTGGGAATGGGCGACAGCAAAAGGAGCGAATTTATAGTAAAAAATGTATAGTAACTAGGTGTGCAGTGCTGGTAATATAGCTAAAGACCAAACTATTTCAAACTTTAAACTTATGTGTGGAATTATTATGCGTACATTCATATTTACCGCGGCGTCAAATTATCGGGACGCACGTGCAAGAGCTAAGCGCATTATTTATACGCAAACATTAATTTTACAACGCGCATGACGTGAAAATACTATCACAACTCGCGTTTCCGCAGTTGTATTGACGGGTGAAAATACAATAACTTTTTTTTTTGTGATAATGATTTCTGCAATCAGTCGCCAGACTATAATCAGATATGTTGAGTGTCATTTTATTGTTAAAGAGCAGCTGGCCTATGCCTAAGCTGTCTTCTTAAATTACGTGGTTTCTTTTTAGCCTTTTAACCACGTTGTCATTCTCCAGTAATCCATAGGCGAGTGGATTGGGATGATGAGTAAGACGTTCGATGTGCAGTTTCTTGTATCGCTCTATTTCTGCGGCCACGGTTTCAATGTTCAAGTACTCGTGTATTTCATCATTTCCTCGTGGACCACGGGGCATTCGCAATATTCCTCAATATGTTATTTGTTAATGGTTCACGAGGAATGATGAAATACAATAACTGGCTGCTTAATATTAACAGTCGTTTACGGAGTAGTTTTAGTTACTGCACTTTAAGATTTTAATGCCATATGAAGGAAAAGGTCAATGCACAATCATGATATTGTGTAGGGTATCTTGGCGTGGAAAGGGCATACAAACATTCGCGTGTATTTTTTAGGGTTCCGTAGCCAAATGGCAAAAAACGGAACCCTTATAGATTCGTCATGTCTCTCTGTCCGTCTGTCCGTCCGTATGTCACAGCCATTTTTTTCCGAAACTATAAGAACTATACTGTTGAAACTTGGTAGGTAGATATATTCTGTGAACCGCATTAAGATTTTCATGCAAAAATAAAAAAATAATAATAAATATTGGGGGCTCCCCATACTTACAACTGAAACTGAAAAATTTTTTTTTTCGTCAAACATATACGTGTGGGGTATCTATGGATATGTCTTCAAAAATGATATCGAGGTTTCTAAAATATTTTTTTTCTAAACCGTGACAGTGTGCGTGACAGACTCTTCCAAAGTGGAATAAAATTATAATAAAAAAAACTTTTAAAAACAAGCTTTATCCTGAAATGCAGTTGTACTAAAACGAAAAAAAATAGTTGTATGCTTGGTTCAAAGAATTTCAAAAGCTTGTATCGCGCATGGAATTTATTCCTCTTTTTTTCTGTTTGCGCTACAAGCTTTCGAAATTCTTTGAACCAAGCATACAATTATTTTTTTTCGTTTTAGTACAACTGCATTTCAGGATAAAGCTTGTTTTTAAAAAAGTTTTTTTTATTATAATTTTATTTTACACTTTTTAGTTGTATCTCAATCTCAAGTTGGTCCCCCTCCTTCTAACTTCTAAAATAAGAAAATGAAAAATCTAAAAAAAAAAACATATGATGTATCACTATAAAAACTACCAATGAAAATTGTTTTGAACGAGATCTAGTAAGTAGTTTTTTTTAATACCTCGTAAATCGTAAACCGCTTATTCCCGCGTAATCATTCATAAAAAAAAAAAAAAAAATTTCATAAATCAATGGTACGGAACCCTTTGTGCGTGAGTCCGACACGCACTTGGCCGGTTTTATTAATATCATGTAATTACTATTAGGTCATTAATTTCTTGTTATAAGGAATTTTAAGCTTTTTTATGTAACACAGTACGATGTTAATTATACCACTGCTTAAAAATAATGAAGTGATCTAAAAAAACTGTGATCCGAGTATTTTATACTAATGTTCTAATCTTTGTCCTCATATGAGCTAGGCCTTTTCACTTTTGTTTTAAGACCTATTTTCCTTTTTTCTGACAGGCGAGAAACCGAACGCGTGTAATGTTGTAATAACCCTTTTCACTACTGTTGTAAGAGTTCTTTTCCTTTCTACCAGGTGAGAAACCCCACTCGTGCGAGATTTGCGGCAAGTCGTTCCGTGTGTCGTACTGCCTCACGCTACACATGCGAACGCACACCGGCGCGCGCCCGTATACGTGCCCGCACTGTGGGAAGAGGTAAGGAAATGAAATACTGTGTTTTGTCCTTTTTTATCGTGTACATGCGAATTCAAAAAGGGGGGAGGACGTCGAGGCTGTGCCCATCCCAGGATTACCATGCACGTTTTTACCATCAATCCCAAATTTTTAAGTGACCCTTATGGTAACACCTAACAGGAATTTTGTTTTCAAAGGGGTCACATAAAAATTAGGGATTGATTGGTGGCATAATGGCAATAATAAAAAAAATGAGTATTACTGTTGAGATCGCAACATTATCCAGGCAAATACTATGCCGCTAAGTATTTACACTTGCGATCTAAAGTTTTCAGCGCGGTGACTGTTCAGGAAGCCATTATGGCTTGAACGCAAATGACAGTATTCTTAGTTCAATATACATACCTAATATTAAGGTATCATTAGACGAGTATAAATGTTATCACTATGTATTTGTATCTCAATTTATGTCTACAGGTTTAAGCCTAGGCGCAGGCCACCAACTTTTTGTCGACCGATAGTTTAGTCGGGCAGTTAATCAATATGGGCATGTATGGAAGTGCGCACATTACACCGATTTGATTTTCATACAAATTATTGGCCAACTAAAAGTCGATGGTCTGCCCCTAGGCTAAGGAGCATAATGTCTGTTAATAGCTCTTTGTAAATAATTTCCTTTTAAACAGATTTAACTTGCCCATAATCTTTCTACAGGTTCAAAGCGCACAGTGTATACAACCACCACCTGCTCACGCACTCAGAAGTCCGCGCGTACAAGTGTCCCTACTGCCCGAAGGCGTTCAAGACGTCCGTACAATTGGCCGGCCACAAGAACTCGCATACCAAACCCTTCTCTTGCCCACACTGTAATAGGTAAGTGAAATAAATAAGTGGAGTGACTATGGCGTCGATGTCGATTAATTTCTCGCTTAAGAAAAGTATAAAACACTAGCTTTTGCCCGCGGCTTCACCCGCGTGAAATTTATTTTTTCACAGATCGTCATAAATTATAGCCTATATGTTATTCTGGGTTATAAACAATAATACTGTAAAGTTTCATCAAAATCCGTTCAGTAGTTTTTGCGTGAAAGAGTAACAAACATGTTGACATCCCGACATCCAGACATCCATACAAACTTTCGCATTTATAATATTAGTAAGATAAAATAAGAAATAAGATGTACACTTGCTGACGGTCGACGAGAGCCGTCTCGTCACTAACTTTTTGCAGCGATAAGAACTGAAAAATACCTGAGCGATTCTCGCTTCGCGCCAATGAGACACCATTCAGCGATCATTCTACTCTACAGTGTACACACTTGCTTATAGTCCGGCGACAAAACTATCGAAACTTAGCGCCTTTACAGTTACACACTATGCCGCTGCTTAGTTTTGTTAGGATTTGTGTAGAATCTTACACACTATACCGCGACGGCGGCGAGTTTGATGCCGCCGCGGACGCTGCACTAGTTTTATTTGTATTTTTATGGTGCCTTACACACAAAGCAAAAAAATGTCTACAGGCGATATCGAAGTCGAATCCAATGAGGAGATCCGCAGGAGAATTAAAGTGGCTGACACAGCCCGCAGAATCGCTAAAATCAAGTGGCAGTGGGCGGGGCATAGTTCGCAGAGCTGATGGCCGCTGGGCGCTGGGACAGAAAAGTTCTCGAGTGGCGACGACGAGCCGGAAAACGTAGTATGGGCAGGCCTCCCACTAGGTGAACCGACAGTCTGGTGAAGGTCGCGGGAAGGTGCCTGGATGCGGGCGGCGCAGGACCGGTCTTTGAGGAGATCCTTGGGGGAGGCCTTTGTTCAGCAGTGGACGTCATTCGGCTGAAACGAACGATATCGAAGTCATGATAATTAAAATACACAGCTGTAATTCTTTCACTTCACAGGCCGTTCGCATCTCTCTACGCTGTCCGCGTGCATTCGGAGACGCACGCTCGCCAGAACAACCTGAAGTTCTCGTGTTCGCTGTGCGGCGCGAGCTACGCGCGGGCCTTCGCGCTCAAGGACCACGTCAAGCAGGTTCATCAACAGGACGTCGATGCCATGGACCTGCCTGTGGTGAGACACTGTCGCTAAAATCCGGTCGCCGAGCACGTAGAATTTCGGCCAATGACCCCAAGCTACCCATCCTTTTCGCTCGCGGGTAATTATATTGCTGTTGAGACTGTGCGACGGGCGGCCGCAGTGATGTGTGATAAGGATGGGTAGCTTGGGGTCATTGGACGAAATTCAACGTGCTCGGCGACCGGACTTTACTCTCTCATCGCGAGTCTCTCACGAGACACACGCCAACAACCTGAAGTTCTCGTGTTCGCTGTGCGGCGCGAGCTACGCCCTCAAGGACCACGCCCGTGGTGAGATGACACTACTTAAATTCAGAATTTATATTTAAAACAAAAAAACAACTAGGACTACGACACCTAAAGGAGCACGCGCACTGGTTAGGGGGCGTCCATAAATTACGTGAGACAATTTTGGCTATTTTTCAACCCCCCCGCCCCCCTTGGTGAGATTTGGTGAGATTTTGCCTGACCCCCTCCCCCACCCCCTAATCTCACGTGATATTTAAAAAAATCCGAAATTTAATAGTTTTGGAGTAATTTAACTGAGAAAGTTTTTTTTGTGTGCTTAGTGCGAGTTTGCATTTACCGTTGGTCGCTAACGAGTGCATCAAAAAGATCTATAAAGTTAAAGATTTTAGTTCTTGAAAGTGTCTGCTAGGGGCGCTGTACAATCATCATACATTTAATGCATGTCATTTTTACGCGACTGATAAAAAAAACCTTGTTTTATAATTTTCTTAATTTCGTCATTTATTCTGCATTTTAGTATTCACACATGCAGACGGAAGCATTGTTAGTTTTATTTGTTTAGACGGTATAGAATAAAATGTCATTATCATCATAGAAAATATAATTTTTTAGGGTCCCGTAGTCCTGACAAGGAACCCTTATAGTTTCGATATGTCTGTCTGTCCGAGGTTTTGCTTGGAAACTATTGGCTTTAGACAAGACAGTAGAATAAAATTTTGAATAAACATTTTTTTAGGGTAGCCCCCCTGGGGATGAATTTTTTTTCATCTTCTACACCATCGTGTAGGACATCGTTGGATGACTTGGGGGTTTTAAAGACTATTTTTCGATTTAGGGGTCCATTTGCAAACTATTAAACTTTAAAGTGCCAATTTTTGTTCGAGCAGGGCGTCCCCCCACTCTAAAAACTAGACTGTTGGCTTGAAAAATCTGGAAAAATTCATAATAATACTTATTTTTATGAACTTTCAAGAAAACTATATAATAACGGTTAGGGTGGGTCAGTTAGTTTAAGAGTAATAGTCATTTAACTCATGTATTATAAAATTTCATATCTAATACAAATTCCTTGGAAGAAAATATTAAAAGCGACTTTAGATGAAGTTATTGTTTGCTTCTGAAATATATTTTGTTAACGACGGACAACTACGGAACCCTACACTGCGCGTGGCACGACACGCACTTGGCCAATTTTTTTACTTAAGATTTAAACCCAGTTTTCTGGCAAACTCTATTTCTCTATTTCTTGCGGAAAAAATTACGTGATATTTCCTGAGACCCTCCCTCTCCCCCACGTGAGATTTAGTGAGGTTTTTCTTGACCCCCTCCCTCCCCTAAAAGTCTCACGTAATTTATGGACGCCCCCTTACTGGTACTTTTTTGTCACCCTGACAGTATTAGGTACTAGCGGCCGCCCGCGACTTTGTACGCGTGGACCTCGTTTAATTACTAATGATGTTGATAGATGGCGTTTCATGGCTTCCCCCCATGAATATTTACGAATGTCAAAAATTTTCCGTCCAGCGCTGTAGATTTTAACTAATGACTATAAATGGCGCTTTTTACCCACGTCTTATTTATTAGTATGATATGTACGTGATTAGATTAGAGAAAAAGAGAGAAACATTGTCACGGTGACAAAAGTCACCTGTGCGCGCGCGCCGTAAGGAGCTAAGAAGCAAATAACATACTTACCAAAACCACGAACGTACTATGGAAAAAAATCGTGCTACATATAAAGGAGTCCAATCTATACAGGGTGTTTGGTAAATGGGTATATGACCCGACACTAGCCCATGTTAACATGGGCATATAAATGGTATGGTGAAGTCAGAAATTTGATATCATCATTTTGTTTCTTTAAATTTTCATACAAAATAAATTTTATAAAATCCGATTTGTATGAAAATTAAAATAATTAAAATGAAGATATCAATTTTCTGACTTCACNAAATTTGATATCATCATTTTGTTTCTTTAAATTTTCATACAAAATAAATTTTATAAAATCCGATTTGTATGAAAATTAAAATAATTAAAATGAAGATATCAATTTTCTGACTTCACCATACCATTTATATGCCCATGTTAACATGGGCTAGTGTCGGCTCATATACCCATTTACCAAACACCCTGTATATATAAAAATGAAACCCGTTTTCCGTTGTCACGACATAACATGAAAACGGCTTGACCGATTTGGCTGATTTTTTTTTGTAGTTTTCTAATAGCTACTCTGTACAAGGTTTTTACGGAAAAAAAAAATCTCTAAGAAAATCTCTACGCTAAGGCGGTACGAAGTTCGCCGGGTCAGCTAGTTGTTTAATAAATTATTAATAGAAATAATAAAAGAAGAAAATAATACAAGTCAAGTTCCGTTAACTTAAAATTTAAATTTCTGAGCCCGGTCTTATGCTGTTAACGAAATCCATTGCTTTGTGCTATAAATGACGTTGGACGCGCTGTTTTTGCAACATTATTTAAATGTTTAAAAACTACCTAGGTATTTCATTACTTGCACACATACACGTGAAAGTATACGATATTACTTTTAAAATTTTAAATTCGTCTAAAAACGAAGTTCAATAAACCAAAAGACCCGTTCATTTGTCACTCAGCGCCCTATAACTTTCCGCGCTCGCCAAAGATCAAACGTAGCATCGCAGCGCAATACACAAATTAATAATTTCGTGAACCCAATAAGCAGTGCGTTGGCTAGCTGTTGATCTACAATATTCATATTCCCATTCGCCGTCAACTAGCTCTTGAGCAATTTATCTCTTTTGGACAGATGTTCCCGTTTGCAAATGTCTGTCTGATCATTTAGAATTACTTTATGATGTAGCCGCCAATTTTGCGCACGTTATTACAAATAAGTAATGTCAGTTTTAGGCACTGTAGGCGCGTAAAGCCATATATATTTTATCATGTCAATTTATACACCTAATTCTTACTAATATTTTATTTAAAATTCAAAAGTAACTATTAGTTATGTTTTTGCAATCGCTGAACCATTTTCATGTTTTTTGTTTTATAACTCGTCTAGCGGCCGCCCGGGACTTGGTACACGTGGATCCCGTTTTACCCCCTTAGGGGTGGAGTTTCGTAAAATCATTTCTTAGCGGATGCCTACGTGGTAACATCTACCTTCATGCCAAATTTCAGCCCGATCCGTCCAGTAGTTTGGCCTGTGTGTTGATAGATCACTATGTCAGTCAGTCAGTCACCTTTGAGTTTAGACCTTTAGATTAGATCTTTAGATCTGACAAAGGCTACATTTTATCACAAAATGGTATTTGGCATAATAATTAACTAGTAAAATTTTTATTCAAAGTTATTCTAAACAACAATTCTTTCACAGGTGAATATAGCGAAGATTAATAAAGACGACTGGCCGTTGAAAGAAAGCGATGGCGATGTTGAGACCATAACCCTCACTCACAAAGATTTGTCGCAAGAGGTAAGTTTAAATTAGCATAAACGTACAAAAATGTGTCTACTGATAACATTATCTTCGAAAATAAAACAAAATATACCTTTTTTTACAGATATGTGAATTAGAAATGTCTTCCAGCGAATTAATTGATCCTATTAAGGTAACAAATTAATAATTAAAGGTAATTTTAATGTACAGACGTCGGCAACATGAAATCAAACACGGGCATCTTTTATAGTTGTAATAAAGGTTATTTTATAATAACTAATTAAGTTCATTAGTATTATGATGTGCTTCCGACTGTATTTTACCGAAAAATTCAGTTATTGCCTCTAATGTATTTTGTTATAGTCCATTGTTTAAATCTCATTGTTATCGAATTATCATATCATAACAAATATTTTTTCGCAAAAAAATATAGTCTATATGCACCGCAATAAAACAGTGTCTTCATCACACGCCGTTATTTAAGCGTACATTTAAATAAATAAATAAAAAATAGGAGTAGGCTGTTATTATAAATTCATCAAGACAGTTGATTTTATTTTTATAGACATATTTGCTATGAAGTTGAACTATTATATTGGTACTTGTGTAAATGCAGTGATTTTAAATATTGTTTATAATATAATGTAAATATGACATAATTGTACAAATAATCAAGGTGATATTTGTTTCTAGCAAAATATAATATGCAGCAAAACCTTATCAACCTCTAATAAAACAATTTGTTAAATATTTAACAATAATTCTTCTATTAGTTGTTATGAATGAAACAGAAAAAACAGTCCATCATTATGTATTAATAAGTTAGGTAGTAAAATACCTAGTTCTTTTCTAGCAAATTCTATGTTGAACTGTTTTAGTCAAAATACCCTATTTGTTTCTACAATATAAAGAATTATATTGTTTCTAATGAATCAACTTGCAATATATAAAAGTGTTTATCCAATAAGCGGATACTGACTATACACAGTGGATTTTTGAGACGGGCATTAAGGGCAGGTTACCCTTACTTATAAAAGAAATCATTAAAATATTATTACTTACAAAACAACGTGTTTAGAAGTTTTCTAATGGTTTAATTTTCGAACTGTATAAATATTGTGAGAATATAATAATAGCAAACTGAATTTTAATGCTCTCTAGATTCTATTTTGAGATGAGATCATTCAAATATCAAGAATCCACTGTGTTACTAAATAATTGTTAATTGATTTCAAAATGTTGTGGGATGGGATTTTCATGTTAGTTATCTACCTAGCATTAACTTTAAGCATTTCTGTTTGTCACAACAATAGGTTCGTTCTGCGTCCTTCGTGAATTCTATTGTGTCGGGATAAAATAAATGTCTGGCCCTTTGTATGATAAATATGAAATATGTATTTAAGAAGTTCTCTTAATTCAAAACACTAGTTTTTCAATGATTTACAAGGCCTACTGAATTACATACAAAGATGCATTGCGGAGCAAAAAAATTAACGAAAAGTAAATATCTCAATAAATTAATTGTCATATCGTATTCGGTATATTACATTTATTCTATACCCTTTATATTTACTCCTTAAGCAACTAAAACATTATAGTATAATTACAGTTTTATCAACACGAGGCAGCGATTGACAAACATTTTAATAATTAAAACTTTTATTGACACTTCTGAATGCGTGTACATAGGTCTTAAATATACATGCATGAATGTATTTGGTTATTTAGGGTGTAATTTTTGTAGGTTTAATTTTATTTAGGCGGTTAAATAAAAATATTTACTTAACAAAAAACAATCGTTCCTTTTAACTTAAACTCTTGTATCTAATGTTGCTGTAATAGTGGTTATTTTGCAACAAGAATACTGCTGTCGATTAATGAATATTTAGGCCTATTTTTGCTCTAGTCACCATTGCAAATTTTAAACTGTTTTTTACTAACTATATCATATGTGTATATTTTACTAAAAATGGTGAATAATGTGCAAGCATTTAAAATGTAATGTAAAATACCTATTAAGAATATGAAAATCAGAACGAAAAACAGTGTTTCGAATAATCATGAAATCTTTAGGCGTGTATTATGAAACAAGGCCGAATGTATGGAACTCAATCATAGACAGGGTGTCCACATTCTGGAAAGTCAGGGAAAGTCAGGGAAAAGTCAGGGAAGCTCATAGCAGTCAGGGAAAGTCAGTGAAATAGAGGAGTCACCTGGAAAGTCAGGGAAACATTGAGATTTTGTCTACCAAAACACTGTTTGTCTCCCGAAATTTCCCAGTGATTGTAAAATGAGGGATTTAATTAATTTATGCTCTAGAAAGACCTTTGATCTTGACTATCGAAGCATTTTTTTTCAGGTTTNTCAATAAATTAATTGTCATATCGTATTCGGTATATTACATTTATTCTATACCCTTTATATTTACTCCTTAAGCAACTAAAACATTATAGTATAATTACAGTTTTATCAACACGAGGCAGCGATTGACAAACATTTTAATAATTAAAACTTTTATTGACACTTCTGAATGCGTGTACATAGGTCTTAAATATACATGCATGAATGTATTTGGTTATTTAGGGTGTAATTTTTGTAGGTTTAATTTTATTTAGGCGGTTAAATAAAAATATTTACTTAACAAAAAACAATCGTTCCTTTTAACTTAAACTCTTGTATCTAATGTTGCTGTAATAGTGGTTATTTTGCAACAAGAATACTGCTGTCGATTAATGAATATTTAGGCCTATTTTTGCTCTAGTCACCATTGCAAATTTTAAACTGTTTTTTACTAACTATATCATATGTGTATATTTTACTAAAAATGGTGAATAATGTGCAAGCATTTAAAATGTAATGTAAAATACCTATTAAGAATATGAAAATCAGAACGAAAAACAGTGTTTCGAATAATCATGAAATCTTTAGGCGTGTATTATGAAACAAGGCCGAATGTATGGAACTCAATCATAGACAGGGTGTCCACATTCTGGAAAGTCAGGGAAAGTCAGGGAAAAGTCAGGGAAGCTCATAGCAGTCAGGGAAAGTCAGTGAAATAGAGGAGTCACCTGGAAAGTCAGGGAAACATTGAGATTTTGTCTACCAAAACACTGTTTGTCTCCCGAAATTTCCCAGTGATTGTAAAATGAGGGATTTAATTAATTTATGCTCTAGAAAGACCTTTGATCTTGACTATCGAAGCATTTTTTTTCAGGTTTGGAGTGATCTACATTATGACTTTGTTTTTAGTCATAATTATATTACTCCTTTTTAGTTTTTTATCTAATGAAGTGGATTGATCTAAATTATGACATAATTTTGTTCATAATTAGATTACTTTCATATAGTTTTTTTAAGGATTAGAGAGATCTATGTTATGATTTTTTTTGTCATAACTAGATTACTCCTTTTTGTTTTAATAGTTATACTTTTTTGTTTCAGTAAAATGATATTGTCAAAAAAACCAAGTCTCGCAACTCAGTTGTTCTACGGTAAAAAGTTGTGAGATCCATGTAATACCAAGTCCAGGCCAGGAAATCTTTAACGTTTTACATAAATTATTGACTTGGCCATCGCACTAAATAATCTCACAACTTTTTACCGTAGAACAACTGAGTTGCGAGACTTGGTTTTTTTGACAAGTATTGTTTTTGATGGGATCTCATTTCTTTTTGTATTTTATAGACAGCTGTTATGTATCTAGAAAACTGGACCGAAATTGAAAAATTTTGCTCGACTTGGCGGTTGCACTACCGTGCCCCCAAATATTTTAGTTTTTCCTTGATTCATACACCAAACACTACTTATATTCCAAATTTGAAGCTTCTAGGTCTGCTAGAAGTGCCTTAGAATTTTGATGATCGGTGAGTCAGTCAGTCAGTCAGTCAGTGAGTGACAAAATTAAGTAACTTTGACCCGTTATAATTCTTAAACTACTGGTTCAAATTGAATGAAATTTTAAATATACTGTGTCTTTATAATGCCTGCATAGCTAATGAAAATTCAGCCTTCTAGTTTTATCCACAACGAAGTTACAGGCGGTCGAAAATGGCCTGAATTCGAGAAAAGGATGGTNAACTTTATTTTAAACTTTTTAGTTGTTTCTCAATCTCATGGCCTAAGTGCTCGGGAAGACAAATCCAACGAACCCAAACTCGATAAGCTTCCGCCGTTTCGTTTAGGACTTCCTATGGCCAGCTCCTGCCACCTCTTGACTTCATCATCAGGACCCTGGACATCATCTAGCACTATAGTGCTCGAAAAGACAAGTCCAACGAACCCAAACTAGATGCAATTCCGCCGTTTCGTTAAGAGTTCCTATCTCAATGTCTCTCTGACTCTGACTCCATCCAGCTCAATGGTACCATAATATTGCATTGTCATCGTACTTACACAAGTATACCAAATTTCAGCTCAATTGATTAAGGAGAACTGGTTTTAAATTCAGTTGTAAGATTTATCCCATACTACTAACAAGCGAAGTGCTTGTAAAAATGGTACGCATATCTTTTTTGCGACTAGGTTTCTTAGAGTACCATTTTGGAATCTTGGATAGTTGCGTCAACTTTAAAAAAACTTGCCGCAGTAGTGTTCATACTTTTTTTTTACAAAACGATGAGTCAAAGTGGAGTGAAAGTAAAAATCGTTCAAAATTTTAAGGAAATAAAATATTTTGATTAACTTTTTTGTAAAAACTGCAAGGGTTCTGGGGGTTTTAAGAGTTGGGGTGAACAGCAGCACTACTTAAGTTGCCGATATAAACAGAAAACCAGGAATAATTGAAAAATTGTGGTCGTGGTAATGTAAAATATCATATGGGGTGTCAATTTTCGTTGAATTTCATAATTTATTGTGTAAGTTAAAAATAATTGAGATATTTTTTTTTCCTTATTTTTCCTAAAGTCCTGTGGCGTCGGCTTATCCTTGAATTTTGGGACACGTTGTATACATAGTTGGTCAGGGAATTTTGAAAAAATTGTCAGGGAAAGTCAGGGAAAAGTCAGGGAATTTTTTTGAACATTTGCAGTGGACACCCTGAATTAGATTGTTTTTCCTGTGATTGGCTACACTAGTGTTATAAAGGAATGATTTGTTGTTTGTTTGTATTGAATAGGCTCCGAAACTAGTGAACCGATTTGAAAAATTCTTTCACCATTCGATTTCTACATTATTTCTGATGAACATAGGCGGTACGAAGTTCGCCGGTCAGCTCTGACTAAATATTCAAATTCAACCAATGAAAGGCTTTACTCTATGTTTGCGAATTAGTTAAGTTTTAAGCGTCGTGTCGCATTCATATCCTAATATGGGTGGGTACTGGGTATACTATTTTTGAACATTTTAACTTGTACCTACAATTTTTTATTTTAATATCCTTTAGCACGGGCTGTGTGTTGCTGAGTATCATTTTAAGCTTATAATTATGAAGGTTAATTCCGGAATGTGACCAAACAGTGTTGACAAATACTTATTTAGATCTGTAAGCGTTTAATACGCTACTGTGAGTCTGTGACTGTGAAAAGTGTTACTGTAAATAGATTTTACGTCCTATTACGTTTTTGTATTGTGTTTATTTTATAATTGAAATCAAAGCCATGTAAATATTATGTACTTAGTTTACGCAATAAAATTTAAACAACGAGATTTTTAGTTTTTCTTTACAAATCAAAATGCAGTAAATTTTTGAAAAATAAATTTATTTTTGTTTATATTGTAAATTGATAACAATTAACACTTATGGTATAAAATATAATGTGAATGCCACATTTTTTCTATTATTTTTGGTAGGTAGCCGTATTCACTTGAATTACTAAACTTAAATTTTTCGTATATGTAAGGACTAGCGGCCGCCCGCGACTTCGTACGCGTGAATCCCGTTTTTCCCGCTAATTCCCGTTCCCGTGGGAATTTCGGGAATTCCTTTCTTAGTGCACCTCTACGGTACCTAAGCTACGTCCCTTCCAAATTTCAAGTGCCTACGTTTAGCCGTTTAGGCTGTGCGTTGATCTGTCAGTCAGTCAGTCAGTTTCTCCTTTTATATATTTAAGATCATTAATTATTTATAAGAGATTTAAAAATATACAGGTTAAATTATTTTAAGGCCTACTAAATTAACTATCACATGTTTGCAATTTTTACGATACTTTCAATTTAAAACTACGTCTAACTTACGCTAGCTTATTTAGAAATGTTTACAAAAATGGAATATTTAAAGCGTCTTTTCACGGTGGTTTACACTGTCACGTTTGTCCATTGGTCCACTCGCCCTCCATCCTCCAGACGGAGAAGGCGTAGCTGAGCTTGTCCTGGGCTAGGTACTTGCCGTGGTCGCTCCCGGCGTCGCTGCCGCTGTCGCTGGCCGTCTCGCCACTAGACAGGATCTGATACAGGAACTCGATGTACCGCGTCGCCAGCTGAAGCGTCTGAATCTTCGACAGCTTATCACTCGGCAGCGACGGAATGATCTGCCGCAAACTCGCAAACGCCTCGTTCAAACTCTGAGTTCGCTGTCGCTCCCTTACGTTCGCCATCACCCGCTGCACCTGCATCTCCTCGTAGCTCTGAGCCTTCTTCCTCGACGACTTCGAACGCTTCCGCGATCTCCTCTGCTCCTCCGTTTCCACATTCGACTGATCATCTGTCGAGGTATTACGGTACCCCTCCCCCAGCTTCGGCGTCTCACTATCGTAATAATTTCGGAGTCGGTCCTGTGAATTTGAGTCGTCGAAATAGAAATTCCTATGGAACTGGCGCTCCAGGGAATTCCTCTGGTACTGCTGGTCGTAGGACGGGTAGGGATGTTGATAGTCTCGCTCCTCGCTGTCGAAGGAGATGTTGGCGGGCCAGGGCTGCGGCGGACGCTCCGAGCCGTTGCTCAGGTCCATGAGCCGCGTCGGTGACGAGGGCGCAAACGCCGACAGCTCGGCGTGGCCGTCCACCTCCACCGGCGTATAGCCGTAGTACTGCTCCTCATCGTCCGGGTACTCGGCCTCGCGTTTTATCGGCACCGGTGTACTTTCACAAGCCTCGTAGTTCATCCTGCGAACGCGCGTCGAGAGACATGAGCGCGATGATCAGCGCAGTCGGACTGCAGCCGCGGACTGGGCCCGAGTCCTGCGCGCCCGCCCCTACCCGTCCCTTCATTGACAAGATACAAAAAATAACCATTTCCACCGCTCCGTTGCGCCTCCCAGCGCGCCGCCTCCTGCCCTGTGCGAGACAGAGACGGAGATATCCGCGCTGATTGTTTTTGTGTCTTGTCCATCATTTCATGAACCGATCCTATTTACCGCTCGTACACAACGTAGGTATAATATGTGCCTAGTGCCTACGTTTGGCGGCCATGGCCGATCGCTTCGTTGGTCACGCATCCTGTGCGAGATGTTGAAGATGCAACATAATCTTGCGCCTTTACTTCATTTATCCATTCCGTATAGAATCCTGCATGAGCCGATAATGTTTTTCCTGTTAAAATGCAGTAAAACTTTCGTGCATAGCTCTATAAATATTCTTAGAATTTGGGCCGTCAGACGGCACTTAAAATGTCGCTAATAAAATCGAACCAGAAATGCTAATAAAATTTCACTGTACTCGAGATTCGGCGCCGAGGGTGGTTATAAGTTTTTGTGCAGTCGCGTCGTCCTGTCGCCTCCTAAAAATACCCGTGACGCAACAGGAGTCGCTCCCACGCCGCCGCCGGTGATCCTTTGCAGCCTATAATATAAATATTTGATATTCATCTCTAATAACAACGATAGCAATGGCGTGTCTGTACAGTGTTACGGTCTCATGGGATGGGTTTATGGCTCCTTTTGGAATATGGGAGCAGTTATTGAATTTTTTGTTATACTTATAAACATATTCACTAATCTCAAAACTCAGAGTTAGGTATTGCATCTTATTCGTATTTTTTGGCGACGCGTTAGCATTCTTTTCTTTTAATGTTAGCTCAGTAATAATTTATTTTTGGAAAATTTACCACAGCGGTGATGAAGCCGTTAATATTTATTAATAGCTTCATTAATCATTGTCTAAAAATATTCCAAGCTTAAATTATTGGTATTCTATGGCATGGTATGAGGACTAAAGTGTTGAAGTATGATAGAAATTACTTTTAATTACATTTCGGAAATCTGAAAACATTTTTTATCTTTATCAGAGAAAAACTAATACCTAGGTTTAATGTAAGCCTGTTTTGTTATCCGTAGTTAAATTAACCAATTGCTAAGTTTTATAATGATACCTCTAACCACAAGTTCTATACAATTTGTGTTCTGTTATCAGTTGAATTTCATAAGTTTAACTTGACTTTAGATTAGGTACCTATACGAGACCCTGAAATCATTCATCAATCAAATCTTGCCATAACAGTGCCATCTTAAGAAATAATGTCAAACAAAGAGATTTCAAATTCCTCCAGCGTTAATCTGAAACTGAATTGGTTTATCCCAATGGGGTGTTGTTAGTTAAAATCTTCGTTAATCTGTGTTAATGTAAGAGATAAGTAAACGTCATCCCCTCGGGTTGCGTACAGATGTTCGAACTATAGGATTAACGCCGTGCGGTTTATTTTGTTAAGAGTTTTACGGCCCTGTGGTATATTTTTGACTTTTTGTCGAGTAAGTGACACCTACTTTAGATAACGAAGCACCTATCCATAAGTATGACTCACCTATTAGTAATTGCGCAGATGTTTCTCAGAAATCCGCCAAAAATTAAATAGGTAGTTAGGGAAATCGTGTTACGAACTTACGAATTATTATTAACTATTTGAGAAAATGTTATTATTTACATTATGGCATAAGGTAATTACTCTGTTTCGCCGGACTATGGTTACAAGAAGAATTGACTTCAGTAATAATTTAAATAGATCAGTAATAAAAAAATAACAGGATAATGTGGTTAGATGAAAACATGAGTTATGAGAAATTGAATTTTTAATAGCCTATTATTTTTTTCAAACTTCTAAATACTTATTTAACTTCTTTAAAAAACACATTTGCTAGCGGTCTTCTAAAATTAAATAACACCTTCATGTATAATTTTGGTTACATAACACAAACATGAAACTAAGTTCACAAAGAAAATACATTGTTTTATACATGAAACGCATAAATGCTGTAGAAAACTCTAAAATATCTTTCACATAGGATTTCTTTCCAGTCTCCTCATCGTGAATGCATGGTTTAGCCTGGCCTGTGTATCTTTTACATGCTTGTCTCCAGTACCCGGCTTACTTAGCATATAGCACAAGAACTCAATGTACCGCTTCGCTAGCTCCAGAATTTGCATCTTGGTGAGTTTGTTGGTCGGCATCAGTGGGATAATTCTCCTCAGAGTGGCAAAGGCTTCGTTCAAATTGTACGTTCGATGACGTTCGCGCTCATTTGCCGTTAGTCGCTGTATACGCAATTCTTCCACTTCTTCGTTGCAGACTTTGTTCGATTTTGGCGGGAGTCTCCAGGTCTTCAGTTTTTCAGTTTCACAATTGGCTTCTTTTTTTGGTATACTGTTATCTGCCTCCAGTCCCAGATTATTGTCACCATCTACATTATAGTTGTTATGGCTTAAATTGTCTTGAAAAGTTCCATTTTCTAGTTGTTCTGGTAAATTATTTTGGTATTGTGGAATAAGCGCATATTGGATCTGCTGGTTATTTTGTGGTATGCTATTGATTGTTAAGTTGGATGACCAGGGTTGATAAAACGGCTGATCGGAGCTACTGGTCAATTCACTGAGAAGCGTTGGCGGTGGAGGAGTTATATGCGAGAATTCACTGGTTATTTCCACTTGCGTCGGTTGCAAGTAATACTGCTTATCTTCTTGTAGATATGTGGTGTCTTCTAGTTTTATTACTGGTAGCTTGTTGTCACAGGTTTCATAGCTCATCTTGTTTGTTCTGGCCGCGTGCGCTGACGTAATGATAGGCTGTTGCAAACTAAGCTCGTGCCACAGTTGACCAATTCTTGTACGGTATTTACTTCCATTATTACTGTCATGAACAAAAAACAACAATGGCGATTTCTTTTTCCAAAGACGGCCCCTCCCAAGAAGACGCCTTCTGTTGGTGCCCTTGCAGACCCTTTTGAGAGCGACAGGGATAGAGCTATGCAATTTTTGTCTTCCATGTTTTTGTCGTTGTCTTTTGTTTCATTTTATAGAGGATTCCTTAAACTATCGACCCTAACGTATGAATAAAAGTTTCTTGTACTACAATTAGGTCTACGCATGAAAAAAAAAACTCTTCGAAGATTTGCAAGTCTCAATATCCGTTTTTGGTACCTATTTAGGAACCTAGGAACGATATTCCTTTAGGATAAAGTAGGTCTATTAATTTTAAATTTTCAGACTATTAATTTGAAGTGAGTATCGTGAGGTATTGTGCATCTAGAGTTCGCAATTATCGTGCATCTAGCACGTCGCTTCGCAAATTACGAGAGCTCCTTTGTGTTTAAGTACTTATGCCTTTTGTCGCCTAGATCTCTAACTAAAAATATCCTAAGCCATGACACAAAAGGGCACGTCGCTCCCACGCAGCCACCGGCAACCGATGCTCCTTTACAGGCTATAATATAAATATTTGATAGTTTTATCTCAATAACAATGTTTGCTGTCTGCGTAGTGTCATGGTGATCTAATCCAGATGAGTAGCTTCTATAAAACCTATATGTAGGTAGTTATGAAGGCATATTGAGGCATTTTTTATACTAACGTTTCGTGTCGTGTCGTGGATTAGTTTATCCCAAGGCTGTCAATTCAAAATTATCAAACTTTACAAGAATTTCAGTATAAAATTTTATTGGCCATTCTCTAATCTCTATGCGGAGTTTCTCCATTGTGGTTTAAAAAAGACATTACGCCGATTGAAAAGTCCACTCACAAAAAGTTCACAATCTCTAAGATTTTCAAGCTCTTGGGTTGCATCTCTCCTGATGGAAAGTGAAGATCAGGACGAAGGTGGAAGCGGGCTTCACCCGGAATCCTCAACTACAGGTGTACTGGCTATCTTACTTTCTACTACCAGAACATAACAATGCGTAAAAGCGACATACCCACTCCAATTAAAAGTCAGGAGTTTCAATATTATGAGTGAATATTAACTAACACATTACAATACCTACTTATAATATGGTGGCAAGCAAGATAAACTTTGTCAACTCATTGCAACCATACAGATGTTCGAACTCCGAAATGAAGGTTAACGCCATGTGGTTTATTTTGTTAAGAGTTTTACAGCTTCGCGGTATATTTTTGAACTGTTTTTGTTTAGGTGACACCTGCTTTAGATAACGAGGAGTTTTAAGTGAGGATATGACAATTTTCACTTTATTGAAGTGGTATGGGTGGTTGAAGATTGCAATAAACTGCACTTCAAAACTGCGGTATTTTGAAAGAGAAGCTAATATCGTGAATCTTTCCCGATTTGTCACAATAATATCGATCAGAGTTGATCTTGAATCTTGATTCATTTATTGTCACGTTCATTCCAAACCTTGACTCTAATACATAGTAGGTAAATTAGTAACTTTTATTCCTGTAAAGATAAGTGCTTTATAGTCTTGGACCCGCGTGTAGTTCTGGCTATGAATCAACAAGCCCCTCCCCCTATCAAATTGCTTCGCGAATCACGCGTCTACCTGCGCCTACGCATGTAGGTAACACACGCCCATTGTCAATCGGACGTTTTCAGACAGCAGAGCTTCCACATTTTATTTCATGAGTAGGTACCAATAATAAAGATGAAGATATTACATAAAGTTAGTAGGTAAGTTAATCGTGCTTGAGAGCTTATTATAGTATTTATGTTACGGTTAATGTGATAAATTGAAAATTATGAATAATCGCCGGTTATTATGAATAATTACCGACAGGCGAGGTAAAAGTGATAAATTAATCACATTTATCAGTGATTATTTCATAAATTAACCTTAAAATACTAACAAATATCATAAAAAAGAACACCGGCTCATGTACAGCGCTCATGTACAGCCTCACATTTTGAACGTTTTTAGGTATATCCTAAATTAATATAATTTGCCAAATGAGTTTGGACTGTTTCTTGCGTAACATTACTTTGCCATAATGCCTATAACACATTGTTTTGATTTAAAGTGAAAAATAGGTTAAGGTGCGGCGGGGGTGGCCCTTGGGCCACCCCTAAGCCGCCTATTTAGTTTTATACACACATAAATGATCTCAGATTAATCACATTTACCATATCACGAGGTATCACGAAATTCATAATAACCGGCGATTACTTATTCATAATTTTCACATAATTATCACATTGACCGTAACATTTATACTTGAGTAAAAAAATTGATCCTCTTATCTTATTTTAAACCTTCGTCTTATCAATTACAATTCATTTTGTTTGGTAGGTAGGACACCTAATAAACCAAAATTGCTTTACGACCAAACGTTTTAACTGAACTTGCAGTTCCCTGGGAACTGAGGAAGTAACAAACAAAATAGCTGGTTACTCACTCAGTCAAAAATCTTAGGTCAAGCAATAAAACAATTGGAGAAAACTGATTCCCACGAGCGAAGCGCACATCTGCTAGCCATGTGCCAAAAATACCCATTGCCCGACGATGACCATTGTTTCTCTGCATAATAAAAACGAAGATTAGGTTCTAAACGGCAATATCGTAATAAATAATAAAGCGTCTTGGAAATGCTCGCTGCCATAAAACATCTGTGGAGACCTACGCAGCTGCGTTTAAAGGAAAATACGTCACACGTGTGCCTGATCTATAGCCCGATCCTCGTTCAGCGCCGATACCTGCGCCCGCGCTGATAACGGCCATTGTCTACGAAAGCACAGATCACAAATTCCCACTGTACTAATAATCATTTTTGAACACCTGCAATATTTTGAATAGAAAGTATCGACACTTGTTGAAACATGTATTCTCTTAATCGCTATTGTGCTAGTTTTTTTACGTATTATCAACATTGCTAATTATTTTTTGCGCAGTTGAAAATAGAGGATGACCTCCACGAAGCATAATGAAATTATGTTTTTCTAGATAAATCCGAGAGTAACTAGATAAAAGCTTAAGATTGAGCAAAAATGGGATAAGTAAGTAGGTATTTAAAACTACCAATCAATTGTCAAAATGTTGTAGGTATGAGCTGTAAAAACAGTTTTTAAATTTTGTATGGCATAGAAACCTCATGACTCGACTAGTCCTTCAATCCTTTTTATTTGATATTTTCATGTTATATTTTATAATATGATTGATTGTGTTATGTATATTTGATTTCCATGTTGATAGATTGGTTATCGTCGATGATGTTATCGGTCCACCTTGTGGGTGGACGTCCCACGCTGCGTTTTCCGGCCTCCACTTCAGACCAGCCTACCTATGTTCAGCAGTGGACGTCCAATGGTTGAAATAATGATGATGATGATGATTATATGACTTTAATTTAAAAAAAATTTGAAATCTCATAAACTGCCAGATATTCTTTTTGTTTTTGTGTCTAATAAAGATTTTTCTATTCTATTCTTTTCTATGTTCAGGGCTATAATGATGTGATTTTTTTCGTTTTTTGTCTGGAGTTTTACTCAATTATAAATAAATGTGTTAATTTGTTCCCAAGGATCCGCACAATCGGTCTAAGTAAGTAAGTACCTACCATTTAATATTATTATTTATTTTTTTCGTTAAGTAGGTAACTATAAATATTTTGTATCGTTTTATTTAATCGACTGAACTCTGTATTTAAAATGCAAACATAATATTATCTGCCGCCTAAACTGTGTTCCAATACTGGATTTGCGTTATAACTACGGCCCAGTGGTATACCTCCAGCGAGCGCGCAGATGCGTCCCATGTGTGGCGTTTACTTACTCCGCGCCGTCGACTCTGACGCCCCAAAGCTGTCTCCACGACTTATAGAAATTGCAAGACAGTCCTAATGGACAACTCATTGTTTCAGATATTTCATAAAATTGAATTTTTAGTAGGTTGCTATAGGAGGAGCACTCTTACACACCCCCACATAAATTACCTAACTGACTTACTCTAATTTCAGGATGAAAATGTGGGTGTCGTCGTTTCAGCCAAATGACGTCCACTGCTGGACAAAGGCCTCCCCCAAAGATTTCCACAACGACAACCTGGATGCGGGCAGCGCATGACCGGTCGTTATAGGACTTTAGACTTCAGAAGATTGTTTGGTTTTTACGAGGGGAAAGCAACGCACGCAATCCAATTATAATGCAAATGCGCTGTTTTTATTGTTCCTAAGGCACGATGGTTTACGTTGGGAAATGTAGGTAACTAAAGAGATTTTAAAGTCTTATTCTTAATCCTGGCGGTTTGATGATTGGAAATGATAATTATGTCCCAAAGACTTCTTCTTCATGCTCACCCTAATCGGTATTGACCGGTACAGTTCACATGAACTGTTTTGTTTCAGGAACGCCCCGTAACGTAACCCGCCCTCGGGCTACCTACTCGGAACTACGCCAAGCCAACTAATTACGTTCTGACAGCATCAACATTGCATTTTGTTCATTTAAATAAACTACGCATTCGTGTGCTCGATTGGCCAAAGTAAAAACTAAACTATAAACGGTTTCCATTATGAGCAGAAATTAATTTATTGTGATGACGCGCTTTACTTTCAGGAAGACCAAAAAGGGCAAAAAGCAGAATCTGGTGTTTACGTATAAATGCTTTACGTTTATTACGTATATAAACACCTTACTGTGTGGTTGAGGAAAATCAAAAGAAGCTGCTCTATCAAATCGTTATATTACTTTTTTTATTTACAACGGAGAAGCTCTTGGCCTGCATCTCACCTGATGGAAGGAAAGTGATGATCAAGCCGAAAGGCTTGACTGTGGTCTTAAGAACTAGACCACAGAAGCGGTAGTAAATGTCTTGACAGAAGTCATACTAGGACACCTTTATCAGGAATATCAATGAGATCACACGTGTGCCGTTTTCCAAACACATTAAAGTCGGGCAGACATAAAGGACGTTTAGCGACACTTATTTGCCTATATTGCCGTCGTCGGTTTTACGACGTATTTGCCGGAGTCCGCTAGCCTGCGCAAACGCATGGGGGCTTGCTAATTCTGTCATGTGCTGGTTCTGCGATGTTTCCTGTATAGATTCCTTGTGCATGTCATTTCCTTGGTACGTTGACAAATGAGTCTAACTCCTCATTCTGTACTGGTGCCTAGGTACTAGTTATTTTAAGACAACCAGTCACCGTTTCCTTTCTGTGGTCGAATTTAGGAAACGATTTGTCATTATTACACATCGTTCTTTGATGATGCTCTGACTAATGTTACCTGCTTTCAGGTGGAATACTGGCATGGTATTTGCAATTCCTACTTTTGTTACTTACCTACCATTAATATAGTTAACTTGCCTGCCAGCTACTTATACTTATTATAAATTATTCTAATTAGTTTAAACTGTTAATTAGAATGGTCACTTTTCAAATTAAAAGAGGATTTGACAGTTTTGTAATATTTCTTAATTTCATAAAGTTTTTAGCGCAGTTTCAAATCATATCAAAATAAGGCCACCCATTATTATGGATAATGACTTTCGTGTAGATATTATTTAGGTGGGCTCCAGGATTTATTCTCTCACTCGAAACGTTCAAAATGATCGCGAAAATAAGCGTATTTACTTTGAAAGCACGTGGCGTTGATAACTTTAGTGGGCGCTTCCGTTCATTTGAGATGCTCTTCGATTTTAAAATCACCATCCTGTGTGATGATTTGTGTCACTACTTGTACGTTTTATTTTTAGATATTGTTGAAGTACTTAATGCAAAAGTTTTAAATACGATACGAGTTGGTAAAATTGGTTAACATTTTCTTTTCTGGCGAGTTTCATGTAGCTTACTGCGACAGCTGCTGCTAACAATTTACTTGATTGTTTGGGGAATTAAAATCACCTATCTATGAATTGAGCTTTGAGCGCAAACATGGTCGCCCCAAGGAAACTTGGCGGCGCACTGTAGCAGACACAGACACAGATATGGAGCAGACGAGACGAAGAAAATCAGCAAGACTTGGAGCGAGATCAAACGCGAAGCTCAAGACCGAACGCGATGGAAGACTGATGTGGACGCCCTCTGCCCCATATAGGGGACATGTACCTTAAGTCAAGTAAGTCGTGTATTGTGCTAATTAATTAAAAGATTAGGAAAATTTGTAGGTAACTAGCCTACCTATACATTTTCTCATCCTTGTGTTAAGACTGAAATCCACGATTCTAAACTAAAGTCAGAAGATGAGATCATCATACCTAGTTTATAAATTGTCGATGGGCATCTACCAGGCTTATGAAATGTAGTCTACCTACATAAGTATAGAAATCTCGCTGTCTGGTGTGCCGTTGCGTTGCGTCATCTCCTAAATGGCGAATGTAGGTTCCTCTCAGTACAGAGCCCCTCAGAGCAGCAATAATACTGTCTTATGGGATCATGTTACCATCGATTCAAGCACCGCATTTATAGTGAACTAGGTTCTGATGTTACGTCTTGCTTTATTGGTAAATCTCTACCCCTCTGAGTCTCACGTCGCAACTATAACATTTGATTACCTACAATCTCTTAGCGGTTCATTTTTCAGGTAGGTACCTATAGGTAGATACTTAAGACTTAGCCTAAGTATATCTTATTGGCAAAGTACGTAAAATAATCACTAAGAACAATGGTGAATCTTTTGAATCAATTTGATTAGACTACCTATTCATAAATATGAAATTAATTAGGTAAATAGTTCCAAGCTTTGTCCGTTCAAGGCTATTATTATGGTTAAGTAAACTGTATTTACTACCATCAGAAAGTGTTCAGTACAACGCATAATAGTATATTTGTGTTTAGTTCTGACGGTCTGTTTATCTTTAGCCGCATTTACGATCCCGACATGAATTATTGCCCGTTACTAAATGACAGCCTGTCTCCGGTGACCAAATAAAATTGAAATAAAGGCTAAATACGAAATTTGTTGGTGCTCATTGGTTTAGTTGTGTTTTGTAAGTTAGGTATTTGATTTATTTGATTGTTTGTAAAAGTGTAGTACCTACTTACATGCGTGTTATAGTTACCATAAGAATAAATACTTACTAACCTGCCTAGTATTTTAAAATTAATGTACTACGTCAGCTGTCCTCAGGCCATGAGGCTCGGGATTATCAAGAAGAGATCACTTCCTAGCAATAAGACCGCCTATGTGCCTGTACTAGTTCTGTTGGCGCTCCTGTCTCTCGCCAGTGGCGCCTACTGGTGAGCGAAAATACGATAGCAATTTGATGGCGCAAGTACACTATGGGAAATTGTACAAGATGAAAAACACCATCCTCCTCCTTTTCCCACCCGTGCTTGGCCCATATTTCGGTATAGCTAGCGCATCGACTCGGACTTGCGGCATGAAATTTCATAAGTTACATATTTTGATGTGCTGTTTTGTGGTGTGTGCAGTCATAGCAGTCTATATCTATGTAATTAATAGCCTTCTAACAAATCGACTACTGAGAAGAGCACAATATTTTCTGAATATTTTTTAAATTAACTGTTACAAAAATAAAAACTAATAAGTATTGATTCCTTTGCTATTTGAGAGCAAAGGTTATTTTCAGTTATTTTACTGACATGGGCTGTCATTGCTGTCAATTCTGATTCTGTCACTTTGCGTTTGATTTGGTGTAACAGTTTTGGCGCGTGCTATTATTTTTATTTAATAACGATAATATAAATGAAATAATAAATTAAAACAATCATGGAAGGCGGGGAATCTTTTTTGTCGTGTGCTGTTAATATTGAATGGATGACCCCCCAAGGATCCATAATCAGAAAAGTCAATTACAAAACTGCATCACTTCGCTTGATTAGAAACGAATTTAGAGAAATGTTTATGGAAATATCCAGTGAGAGAAACGCTGCAATAAGATTAGCTTTGAAAGGCATCAATGTGTTCAAGAAGTTCATGGCTGAAGGCAAAGCGAGCATAAAATTTCAGGAAGTAGGTTGTACTTTGTTTGTATCAAACGCACCCCCTACAAATCTTGTCTCCTTCCTGCGGACGATATTTGTGAAAATGACTGGTGATAAAGATCAGCAGCAGACATCCTCAAAACAGTCTATGAGGTCTAAATTGCTGAGTGGAAAAGCACAATCATTTGAAGAAATAAGTCCAGTGACCATAGCAGATATACATAGCGCCAAAACGAAAATACCTAAATCGACATTGACCACTCCCTCGCCACCTTCTAAGAAACGGAAGGCTGAAGATATGACCAGAGGTCCGGCTCCTAAAAAGCTGTATTCTCCGTCACCGTTGACTGCCACTAGTTCCTTGAACGCTGAACAACAAAGAGTATTGGAAGCTTGTTTAAGTGGCAAGAACATATTTTTCACGGGCTCTGCGGGCACCGGTAAAAGTTTCCTTTTGAAGAGAATTGTAGCTGCATTGCCTCCGGATGTTACTGTGCCTACAGCTTCCACTGGTGTTGCAGCTTGTCACGTTGGTATGTGAAAAACCAGATATTTCAATTACATACTACAACACATAAAATGTTGATATCTATTTTGTATGTTATTATGATAACTATACATTGTTTTATTTTACAGGAGGTACAACTCTTCATGCTTTCGCTGGCATTGGAGATGGCAGTGGTTCTCTGGATAATTTGTGTGAAAGGGCCATGAAGATACCACTTGTAGCACAAAAGTGGAGGAAATGCAAGCACCTCATTATTGATGAGATTTCCATGGTCGATGGAACTTTTTTTGAGGTACATATTAATATACTAAAAATTAAAAGGTGGAAAATATTCAAAATATTTTGTAGTAAAAAACATTTAACTTACATTAAAATTTTTTGTTTCAGAAACTTGAGGCTGTAGCACGTCACGTCAGAAAAAATGATAAACCCTTTGGAGGAATACAGCTCATACTCTGTGGAGACTTCTTGCAATTACCTCCAGTTGTTGAGAAAGGCAAGACAGGAAAACGATTCTGCTTCCAATCCCCATGCTGGGACAAATGCATTGAAATTTGTTTTGAACTCAAGGAGGTGCATAGACAAAAAGATCAAGAATTTATTTCTATTCTGAATAGCATAAGAATCGGACGAGTGACAAAAGAGATAAGTGACCGCCTCTTAGGAACAGCCAGACAGAAAATTGAGAGTGATGGTATCCTTGCAACAATATTATGTTCTCATACAAATGACTCTAAAACAATAAATGATACTAAATTAAAAGACTTACATGGCGAAACTAAAGAATTTATATCTCAAGACAGTGATAATGCAACTAAAGTACTAGATATGCAAACCATAGCCCCTTCAAAATTGGTTCTGAAAGTTGGTGCACAAGTGATGCTGCTTAAAAATATTAACGTAAATGCAGGTTTAGTGAATGGCGCCAGAGGAGTCGTGGTTAAATTTGAAGAAGGCTTTCCTGTTGTAAGATTTAAAAATAAAAAAGAGTATACCGCTAGGACTGAACGGTGGTATGTTAAAAATGCAAATGGAACATTGCTTTGTCGTCGGCAAATACCACTGAATTTAGCATGGGCTTTTTCGATACACAAGTCTCAAGGATTGACTTTAGATTGTGTTGAAATGTCATTGTCCAAAATATTTGAGGCTGGTCAGGCTTATGTGGCACTCAGTAGAGCTCAAAGCCTAGACACATTGAGGGTTCTGGACTTTGATTCACGACATGTCTGGGCTGAGCCTAGTGTCCTTGAATTCTATCAAAAGTTCCGAAGACGATTACAACAAATGGAAATTATACCCTTAGGAAGACCTTTGGCTGACAAAACTAATAAAAGAGGAAAGTTGAGAGAAATTTTAGAGAAACAATTACTTAGAAAATAGATTAATTAAATATTTAAGGTATAATCTGATATTTATTATTAATTTTTAAGTAAATGGAAATTCGAATGTATTTTTATAACTGACCCTAACATAATGCTTATAAATTAAGACTGATATTGTAATATATCATTTTAATTAATAATTCTAATAAATAGTTATCAAAATCAGATTTAGTCTTATTTTATTTATTTATTATTTTAAAAATAAAAGAACACCTTTATTATTTCAAAATGTCTTATTAAGTCTAGCAGGCAACACAATGTAAAATGCGTATCATAATGTTTGTATTTGTATTACATGCTATCTGGACTCTACGGCAGTCAAAATTTCTATTTGTTCTTCAAGAGTTGCATGTTTTTCTTGAAGGCATTTTACAATGTACTTTAAAGACTCCACATTTGATTCCATTTCTTTCTTGGATGATCTGGATTCATTCATTTTCTTTTGAAGTACCTCCACATGCTTCTTGTGCTGGGAAATTTGTTCCATCAGCCTTGTGATCAAGTGGTCCTGTTTTTTGGCCAGGAGCCACAGTTCGACTTCTTGAGGTGCGTCCGCTTTGCATTTTAAATCATCTGTTACGTAAGCATTCACATCATCTGGCTCCTGCAATTCACTGATTGCACTTTTCACACCAATAGTAAGCTCTGATTGACTTTGTTTATTTATCAGTCTTTCAATCCTTGACTGTGCAGCATATTCTTCCTGAAAATAACAAAGGACAATACAGGTTTGTTAAAAATTATGAAATGTATACTTTATAAATCAAAGTTTAAATTCCTAATTTATACCTTAATTACTTTAATCTGTTTTTGGAACAATGTCGGTACAGCATTCTCCTTGAGTCTTCTTTGAGAGTCAAAATATTTGTTTTCGAAATGTTTTGAACATATTTTACTTTTGGCCCAATCAAGTAAAGTGCATTTATTCTTGAGTAATATAAGCCATTTGTTTCTCATTTCACTGGAGGTTGGACACCTAAAAATGTAATAACAGTAAAATAAATTGAACAAGTTGTAGGTACATCACTTTCAGAAAATTTATTGCAGCTTACGATTGCAGTGCAATCATTGCACTCCAAAGCTGTGGTTAGAAAACATTGGGATGCAAGCTTCATGAATATATTTCTACTATGGATAATAAGTTATATTGTATCCAAATGTTTTACTTACGAATGAAATGTAACACCCGGTGGTTTGTTATGATATGAAATTTTGCAAGTAGTTATAGCGCAACGCATATTTGCCATAATAAATATGCGACGAACTAATTAAGTTTATTTGTCTCGGTTATTTAAAATGTGAACAGTATTTAGTTACTGAACGGGTATAATAAATTATACGATTTACAAACAATCGTCCGCCTCGCGTAAAAAACCAACAAACGCCAATGTTGACAATGACAGATGTCAATTTCACATTTTGATTATTTTTTTTTATTTTGATATTAGCTGGCAAAGAAAATAAGTGTTATAAATCTTAGCTTTTGCAGCTTGTAAGGGTGTTTTCTTTACCTACATCGTTTGTATACAAAATTCTTACTGTCCCACCCAACTCATTGACAGGGGGGCGCCTCCATCGTTCAACTATATAAAGTTTCCAACATGGCAAAAAGCGGAACAAGCGATCCGGTATTGACGGTGGCGCCCCCTGTCAATATGACGAGTGGGCCGTGGGACCACAGATTCTGTGGGTGGGAGTCGTGGGACAGTTCAGTGTATTGGTCTATCTATAGCCAACAGGCAATAGGTATAGAAGTGAAAAACACTATTTAATCTGTTAAATATTTAATTCCTTATAATAGAAGCGTTTTACCTTACAATAAAACGCATATTAAATACTTACCTTATTCAAAGCTTAATAATAATGAGATAGGCTTTCCATTTTTCGTGCTATTTCCTACCTTTTTCTTCTCCTTTGCTTCCGTTTTACACAGCTACTAGCGCCATCTGGCGTTTCCCCCCACCAGGCAGTGTTCGCGATTGCGAACTTCTAGCGTCATTGCACGATTTTATACCAGCAGGCAGGATTAAAATTTAAGCTTTGAATAAGGTAAGTATTTAATATGCGTTTTATTGTAAGGTAAAACGCTTCTATTAAATAGCTTGACCTTATTCAAAGCTTAATAATAATGAGACATGTCTGTTATCGCCTGGTGGTGGAAGAAACGCCAATGTGTCAATTAGGACAAAGGAAATGAATCGCAGGTGAGTATAAAATAAAACCAAAGCTGTGTGATAATAAATCTATTTACCCATATTAATTATAACATAATAAGTCCTCTAACAATAATAATTACAATTTATAAACAGTAAATAAAGGTGNCCTCGTATCACAAAGTATCAAGTATCCAAAAATCCAAGCTTTTTTGCATAACTAGTATGTTTTAACAAAGTAGCAACACTTTTATAATTAGTTCGTTCAGAAATTAATTTAAAGAATAAAATTAATTTGATTTATTTTACAAAAATTAGTGCTTTTCTAGATTTAAATTAAAATAAACTTGAGATAAAATAAGTAACTGATATAACATTTTTACAAATTAATTAAGTATTAAGCTATTGTCAGCGAGACGTCAGCTGTGACTTAATTTTCCAAACGAAAACTTCAAAGTACGCCCCAGATTTCACTATAGGCGTAAATAGAAATTTATACGAAAATAAATAACAATACATCAATTTTAGTTTAATTAGCATTATAGAAGTAATTAATTGACAGCCGTATTTATTATAGTTTACCGAATGACCTGCGAGTTCGTGTGTCGCGCACCGCGTAACTTTATCACCGTAATCAAATGAGATATCAATGCGCTCGTCAGTGAGCTACATATTGTCTCACGCGCCAGGAGAGTCGGTGATGTCGCACCCTGACTACGCGCAGCACGCCCAGCACCATGCCTGCCTGCTGGTGCTGGTCAAAGGCATCGGGGGCATGCTCAAAAACTTCAACAAACTTTGGGAGAGGATACAGAAAGTCAACAATATAAAAGTTACTGGTACGTGTTCTTTGTGACTAGGAATTAGGTCAATTCATGAAGAAAACATGTTTTAAAACATAAAACATCCATTAACTTGGGAATCTGCACATTCTATACTTATTAATCTGCCTTCTTTAATTTCTAATAAGAATTATTTTAAATATAAAAGTGACTGATGTAAGATTTATAAACAGCTGTTGTTGTTTTTTTGTTTTCAATTTTAGATTCCTCAGGACAAGTTAGAGATATCTGGGTGAGGTATGTCCGGGATTACCCAGTGGAAAACAATGACTGGGGTGACTTTCAAACACATAGGTAAGTTTATACGAATAATATTCACATAAATTTTAATAAAGAAAATAAGGTTTAGGAAGTCCTACTAACAAAATTTCAACAAAAAATTACAAAATATTCTTATTAGTTAGTAATTTACCTTTAGTTAATTAAAAGGCAATTATAGGTACTTGGCTAATATTGTAAACTGTTTAAATACATATTTCAAATCAATAAATTAAAAAAATTGTGTAAATAATAAATATAAATAAGTAATATTTTAATAAAAAGTGAGATTATTAATGTGTAATCCTACCTTATAAATCCTGTCCTAATAATTGATAATATGTACTTGAATAATATGATCTATTTCATTACCTTTTCACAGGCGGTTGCTAGGCCTAATTACTCTTAGTAAGTTCACAAACCAAGTGGAATTGAATGAAGTGTGCCGAGTCCATGAATCTCTCAAGGTGAAGTATTCCAACACCTTGTACGACTCGAGAGCCTTCATGTTTGGCCCCGGGAGCAACTTGAAGAAGCCCGAGCAAGAGCCAGAGACGTACAGCTATGAAGAAGATAAAGTTTCCAAAGAAGGCAGCAGTTTGAGTGACAAGTAAGAAACTCTCATATATTACGTAATAACTAATTTAAAATCTATATTTTAAAGGCAATTAAAATGTTATCTCATGTTTCACTCAACATAATATGAATGCTCTTTGAATTTATTTGCCTATAAATATTAATTTTCTTCATTACTTCATAAATTTCATAATTTCTACAATTATAATAATAATACATGTAACATTTTATTGGTACATCATTAGTAGTTGTTCAAAATCATACTAATTACATACTTTATTTGACTTTATATGTATCTCTACACAATCTAAAATAGAATAACAGTTTTAGTTACTAATAATTGAAATTCATATTACAATTTTACATGTAAGATGATTGCATAATCATATATTAACTCAGAGTGTGTACTGTAAGTAAATAAATATTTTTCCAATTTATTCATAACTTGTCTAGTAAGATTCACTGTACGGTACTAAATCATTAAACGAGCAGTGACCTCAAATTATGAATTTACTGTGGCAAATTGCCATTCACCCATTACCATAACTACAATCTAGCCAGACATCTACGAAAGCTGTGTACCACTAGTTCGAAATGTGGCTGAATCTGCGCGAATTTCGGTCTGCCATGTTACATATAAAGTCTCTTAATAACAATATAATATAACATGGTGATAAAACTATTCCTTAAAACTTTCACCCACAAATTCACTTCCTTTATTATCTTTGAGACAAAAGACAGCATAGTATGACCTTCTGTTTCCTCTTTCTTTACCAAAAAGTAATAGACAAACAGAAATACTTCTGAATTTATTTTATGTATGTGGCTATTTATATGCTAAGCAGTCTAGCATCAGACCTAGATGTGACTTCTTTTAAATAACTGTAATAACAAAATGCGCAAATGTTTACTTCACTTACGCGTTGCGTTAGACTCGCTCGCCATTAGATATCGCGTGACAAGGAAGCATTAATTGAAGACCAATATAGTTGAACAAAGCATAACTTCTTGTTTGCAATGGAATAGGTATTACAGGCGAATGTTTTTCACGAATATTATTGACGTGTTTCATATTCTTTATTTTTAGCAAAAGAAATAACTGTAATATAAAATGGTTAAAATTGGTATTGTTAATAAGTGTTATACTATAACAATAAAGGTGAATAAACCATTTATCGTGTTATAAAGGCAAGAATCAGTTTATTTTATATAACAAATCAATTGATCTTTCAGGTATTCTCTGCCCAGTGAACCAGCAGACAGTTTATCATCTTCTGAAAGTTTCCCACATTCAGCTTCGTCTACTGCATCATTTCCTGTCCAAGAAGAGAATTTCACCACACCATCAAACTTTAAAACACATGCTATGTTTTACGGCGAAAATGACCCAGTGCCTGACTTAGAGCAGAATGTAGCAGATCTCATAAATTCTCTATTCTGGGTGGTAGAATCTAAGAGGCTGGAGAGATCTAGAGAAAAGCTTGAGAAAGTATCCCTACTTTTGGCTCCTTTTGAAAAGAAGGACTTTGTTGGTACGAAATAATTGAATTTTCAAAATTCGTAAGTAACAATTCATCCAAATTTTTAATTTGTAAAATTTTCAGGCCTTGATATGGAGTCCCGCAATAATAAAAAGCGTTGCATGGGACGCGTGACGAAGAATCTCGCCGATTTAACTTTGCAATCTGGTCTGGTCGCTGATAGTCTTGGCTTATACCATAATTCGGCGGAAATTCTAAAGTCCGTGAACGACTGGCTTTGGCTGGCAGCTGCTAAAGAAGGTATACAACTTTGAACTTTCTGGCTCTAAAAATGAAACGCGTGACTACATATTATATTTGATTATGTTTTATATTTCAGGACTCTGCGCCGCTTCTGCAATTCTTCTTTACCCAAACTTGCGGAATACAACGCCCCTACAGAGAAATGCTAGTCTTCAAGAGAATTCTCCTAATAAAACAAAACCACTTTCATTGTTCCAACCAAACATCGATCCATTTCGAAAATATAAAGCCACCTCATCACCTCTTAGATCTTCAAAGAACTCTAGTCCTATTAACCCACCCAGTGAACTGACGCCTTCGTCTTCAGATAGCATCGACACATCTTCTAGACAATCAGAGACTGATAATGCTGATTCCGAATCTCTAGCATCATCCAGTGACATCGAATACCAAAGTCAGAAGTCGTTTTACACTTCCGACCATCCTTCGATTCCCAGACAACCGGTGACTCAAATCAATAACCAGTACCTTTTGAATGGAGAAGAAATAGCTGAGAAGTATCGTAAAGCGATCATACACTACAGCAAGTATCAGAACGCTGGTATAATCGAGACTGAGGCGTGCTTCAAAGCCGCTAGGATCGCGGTAGAGCAGAACAATAGTCTGCACGCGTCCAGTTTTTTGCAGAACGTTATTTTTATCAACTTGACTTTAAGTGAACAGGAGAAGATACAAAGATTTGACACACTTGCTGAGCTATACAAAGAGATAGGTAAGTATTTAATATCTTATCATCTAAATAATGCCTTAAGTCTCTGGAACACTGCCAAATAGGATCAACCCCACTTTTCCCGTGGATGTCTAAGAGGCTACTAGAGGAGAAATATGCGAACATCAGGCAACCGCAATTCGTCTGGCTAGCGTAAGGAAAATCCTCCTTTCTGGCTCTAGTAATTATAGAGAACAGTCCTCCTAAAATGGCGACTAAATGCCTTGAAATTTATCATGATTTCGTATCAATTTCATTAGTTTTTGCCCCATTTTGTCACCATAATTAAAAACTGTCTTAACATGTCTTCATAGGGTTCCTCCGCAAGGCAGCATTCTGCCAGCGCCTCGCGGCCACTCGGCAAGTGAGCCCGAACAACCCCAATCCGGACTGGCAGCGCTGCTACTACCTCATGCTGCACAGCTTCCCGGGGCACAGGCTGAGCCTCGACCCTAACTACGTCATACAGCACCAAGTTGGTAAGCAAATTGTCTCATTTTCTTAAAAGTGTCTGTTTTACAGTTTAGCTTACTTGTATGTGTTTAAAAAGCATTTCAGACATGTATCCGTTTTCCTACCAATGGCACATGCTTTTCTTAGTTGCTATGTAGTATGCTTGATGGCGCCATGCAAGATGATCAAGATGTTTTTTATTTATTATCGAATTTATGAAAACAACCCAGCTGTTCCATATAAAAGTTGCTATCGATTTAACCTTTTCTAGCAAGTTTCTACATGATTGTCACCATGTTAGTAAAAGTTGTTCATAATCAGGACCCTTGAGTAGGATCTTTCCTGAACATTTGGCAACTACTGCCATTGAAAAATAGACCTGAATTATTTATTGCCCTTGAAAGGTTGGCCAGCGCTGCAAATCCAGTTGCTCCAAGAGTTGGTGGTGGCCGCGCGACGCATGGGACACCCCGCTCTAGCCACGAGACACATGACCTTCCTGCTGCAGACCATGTGGCCGCACCTGGCGCGCCAGGAGCACCGGGACCTGGCCATCCAGCTGCAGGTATGAGTTTAATACTTGCAGCATTCTTTTAAAATTATTCAGATTCAGAGAGTCCTATCTCTCTCTGTTGTTAGGCAGATAAATGTTTCTTTGAACAGTTTATCTTATTAGTAACTAGCTTTTGCCCGCGGCTTCACCCGTGTGAAATTTAGTGTCACAGATCGTTATAAATCATAGCCTATATGTTATTATGGGTTATAAATAATAATACTGTAAATTTTCATCAAAATCCGTACAGTAGTTTTTGCGTGAAAGAGTAACAAACATCCATCCAGACATTTATTATATTAGTAGGATATTATAAGGATTTTTGCGTTACAAGTCCTCGATCTTGATTCTTTTGAAACAGCTATTTTAAATGGCATACTTTCCCCGCGGTTATGTGTGAAGTTTTCCGCCAAAATGACGGGGTCTTAACACTAAAAACTGAGGGCGTGCTCCCATGCTATTCTGACAAGAAGGAAGCTAGGGAAGAAGGAGTGGTAACTGTAGGTTTTCGTCCAGAACTCCACTCGTAGCGAAACTGTACCCAGTCTATTTGGTTCTTCCAGGCCCTCTCAGCGCAGTGCGAAGGCGGCCCGGTGCCCTTAGTCCTGGAGACAGGCGAGGTGATCCCGCCAGCTAACCTCACGCACGTGCCGCACTGCTCGTGGTTCAGCCCGAGGCCTCTGCCGCCGCCGCGCGCGCCGACACTCGTCAAGTGCAAGACGCAGACCGGGCCCTTCATCTTCACGCCGATACACTTCGGCACGCTGGAGCGGAAGACGAAGAAGGATGAGGGGAAAATGGGTATGACATGCAACTTCATCATCATCATCAATCTCAGCCATAGGACGTATATCGCTGAACATAGGCCTCCCCCAATGCTTTCCATGATGCCCGGTTGGTAGCGGCCTGCTTCCAGCACCTTCCTGCTGCCTTTACGATGTAGACTATTCTATTAAATGTAAGGTAGCTAAATAGGGGTGATCCGCCCGCCAACCTCACGCACGTGCCGCACTGTTCCTGGTTCAGCCCGAGGCCGCTGCCGCCGCCGCGCGCGCCGACCCTCGTCAAGTGCAAGACGCAGACCGGGCCCTTCATCTTCACGCCGATACACTTCGGCACGCTGGAGCGGAAGACGAAGAAGGACGAGGGGAAAATGGGTATGACATGCAACTTCATCATCGTCATCTCAGCCATAATAGGACGTCCACTGCTGAACATAGGCGTCCCCCAATGCTTTCCATGGTGCCCGGTTGGTAGCAGCCTGCGTCCAGCACCTTCCTCCTGCCTTACGATGTCGACCATTCTATTAAGTGTAAGGTAGCTAAATAGGGGGAATCCCCCCACCAACCTCACGCGCGTCGACCCTCGTCAAGTGCAAGACGCAGACCGGGCCCTTCATCTTCACGCCGATACACTTCGGCACGCTGGAGCGGAAGACGAAGAAAGACGAGGGGAAAATGGGTATTACATGCAATTTCATCATCATCATCTCAGCCATAGGACGTCCACTGCTGAACATAGGCATCCCCCAATACTTTCCATGATGCCCGGTTGGTAGCGGCCTGCGTCCAGCACCTTTCTGCTGCCTTACGATGTCGACCATTCTATTAAGTGTAAGGTAGCTAAATAGGGGTGATCCCGCCCGCCAACCTCACGCACGTGCCGCACTGTTCCTGGTTCAGCCCGAGGCCGCTGCCGCCACCGCGCGCGCCGACCCTCGTCAAGTGCAAGACGCAGACCGGGCCCTTCATCTTCACGCCGATACACTTCGGCACGCTGGAGCGGAAGACGAAGAAGGATGAGGGGAAAATGGGTATGACGTTGACGTTTGGATATACAGGGGGTTTCTTTAATAAGTTCACAATAAGGGTTGGTCCAAGTGTATAAGCACGGGCGACGTCGATCCACCATAAGGCCTCAGGCTCGAATTTAGCGGGCAGCGGCGCGGGAGCGGCGGCGGCGCGGGAGCGGGGCGGGCAACGCAGACCCGTTCTCGAAACAAGCGGGCAGCTCGCGCGGCGCTTTAGCGGCGAAGTGTTGTGTTCGGGGTTGTGTTGTCGAGATATTTGTTTTTATTCGCAAACGAAATGTCTGAACAACGGCGACAATTTTATTTCGATTCAAATTTATTCCTGACGCTCGATTTATTGTGGGCAAAAGAAGGTGTGCGCTGACCGCTCGTTGCCCGCTCCCGCGCCGCTGTTTTCGAGAACCGGTCTATTTGATTTTACGCATAATATCCTGCCGCTCCCGCGCCGTCGCCGCTGCCCGCTAAATTCGAGGCTGAGGCCTAAGGAACGGCGAACGAACAGCGAAAGTTAGTGAAGGAATGTTGAATGAACATCGACGACCAGCAATTCTGAAAACTCACTTCAATCACTTGGAACTAAACGGCCTATCATTGTAATAAATTACCAAAGTCACTATAATTTAATGTTTCATACATTCCATTCGCCATCACTATTTTGATTTCTCCACTAAAATATCGATCCCCGATAGCCCGATAGTCCCGATGCCCGATACCCGCTCACTCACTTTGTTTTCTGAATTGGTTTTGTAAAACAATATTTGTGGATATAAACATAAACCTTGTCTTTTTTAAAACAAAGCCCGTAATTACAGAGTACCTATGGGTCGAGGACGACATCTGCGAGGTTCAAATGAAGCTAACAAATCCTCTGCCATTCGAGCTGAAAGTCTCCAACATGCGGCTCTTGACCTCCGGCGTGGTCTTCGAGTCTATCCCAGAGACAATAATCCTCCCACCGGATTCACCGACCACAGTCAACCTCCACGGCACGCCCAAAGAAGTCGGCGAACTTCAGATCCTGGGCTATTCGACTCACACTTTAGGAGTCAAGTCAAACTGTAGGCTCAAAAACATGCCGATGCCGAACAAATTCCCAGCATCTTTTACCATCGAAGTGATTCCCAGCCTGCCCACTATAACTATCGAAACAACAGTAGCGCCTTCTGGTAGCGTAAGCTTGTCGAGTCTCGAGAACATTGGCAGCACTACAAACATTTCACTGCACAACGGAGAAAGCACAGAGTGCACTATGAAGATTACGAACACTAGTAACGTGCCTATCGAATACCTTGACATAGCTATCCAGGTAATGAAGTGTCTATTTTATTTATATCACCTGACTGAGTATATTTTGTGTCCTTACGTTTTTATTTCGTTCAATTTCACGCTGTCTACTCATTCGAAGGTACTATAGAAAATATTTTTTACAGTCTAACATGGATAGCCAACTCCAATCAAAAGTGTTCCAATTCTCGACCGAAGATATCAAGGCTCAGTTACCGATCCCTCCAGATGAGACTGCAACCATCGTAATGAAACTGTATGGGGAGGCTGACTTCCTTGACCTAGGCGGAGTAGGCGGCGAGAATCTGTTTCCGAACAGCCTCACTTCAAACTACCCTTCGAGGGTTGGCTCACCAGTACCAAATGCACAAACATCTCTGCCAACGCAGAGTTCCAATCCGCAAACTTCGTTGAGCAGTGGACTGATGGCCAACAGGACTTCTGGGAGCTTTAGGTTAGTATAATAAATGAGGGAAATATTGTGTAGTCAAAAGAAACCATAAGCACATCATGATAAGAATTTTCATTGATTTTCAACCTTAAAATAAATGAAGTAATGTTTCAACTATGTTGCAAGAGAATAAATGACATTTGAACTTCTTTCAGATCAACCAATTCTCATACTACAAGCTGGTCGGCTCCGATCTCAGTCATGCCACCGTCTAGAGGCCGACAAATCGAAACTCAAGTAAGTAACAAGATACTTTACTCAAGAAAAAACATCACTTAACATGCCTTTAACAGACTAGCAGCAGTGATACGCTATAAATTGGCAATGTAATATTGCTTGCTATAGCAGATTATGTACCATCCATTCTAGACTGCATCTTACTTAACACCATATGCGATGGCAGTCAAATAAGTATATACCTTCCTTGGCATGCATTAAAAAATGTGTATAGAAAACTATTTACGAATAATATGATTGTCTATCCTGATTTTTCTGGAGATATTTTTGATTATTATATTTTCAGGTAATAATTAGGTATTCAGGAGGCGCCGGCAAAGAGCTTCATTGTCGCCAGTCAACGCTTCAAATCAACTTGGAGTTGTTGCCTAGTGTTTCTATCACTCATTGGGACGTGCTGCCTGCAGAGATGTAAGTGTAACGTAACTTCGTTCGTTTCTTTTTAGCCAAAAGGGATTCTTCATCAGGGATTAAAACAGCGACCGGTCTGCACTGCTCGCAACCAGGTGTTTCGCGACCTTCACCAGGTCGATTGTGCAAGCGTTCTCTGACAGTCGTTTCTCCATTGGACTGATCACCAATAGGACGTTTCGTTTTTGAGAGATCCTCAGTGGCGCAAGGCGTAACTACAGGGTGGTAGGGCTGGCAAAATGCCATGAGCAATAAAAAAAAAATAGATTTAAGTAAAATGCACATTAAATTGTTTGGGTTACTAAAATGATAGTTGATAGTAGGTACTCGTAGGTAAGGATGGGTAGCTCGGGGTCATTGGACGAAATTCTACGTGCTCGGCGACCGGACTATAGCTATACTACAGATGCTGTATTCGTGATAAATATTCGCCCGTTCGCTTCGCAGCCCAACCCAACTGTACCTGGTGCTAGACGTGACGAACCTGACCGGCGAAGAAATGGAGTTCCACTACGCGCCCGGCAAGCACATCCTGGTGGAGAGCAAGGAGTCCTGCCGCGTGCCCGTGCCGCTCGACCGCTGCCCCTTCAGCGCCACGCCGCCCAAGCTGGACGACGGTAGGGAACTGTGTGTCTCGACCATCTGTCCATCATGCAGGAGCGCCCGGCGGCACATCCTGGTGGAGAGCAAGGAGTCCTGCCGCGTGCCCGTGCCGCTCGACCGCTGCCCCTTCAGCGCCACGCCGCCCAAGCTGGACGACGGTAGGGAACTGTGTGTCTCGACCGTCTGTCCATCATGCAGGAGCGCCCGGCGGCACATCCTGGTGGAGAGCAAGGAGTCCTGCCGCGTGCCCGTGCCGCTCGACCGCTGCCCCTTCAGCGCCACGCCGCCTAAGCTTGCCGACGGTGAGGGAACTGGCTTTGTCTTCATTTATAAATTAAACATGATCAGTCATCTATAAAGCTAAGGGACCCCCCACACTAGTGACTAGCGTCTTTCGAGCATTGTCGTCTTGCCAACGCCCGTATAGCGTCGACACCGCCCAAGCTGGACGACGGTAAGAAAACATCTTTGACTTCATTTATAAATTAAACATGATTGATCATCAAAAAGCTAAGGGGTTCACCCCCTAGACTAGTGATTAGCGTCTTTCGAGCATCATCGTCTTGCCAGCGTTGACGCGACGCTGGCGTTGCATCTAGCAACGTTTCTTTCGGGCAAGTAACGCAACCTTCTCACTCCATTGTGCTCAGACGGTATTCAAAACACAACAACAACTAGTGTGGCTTTGAAGCAAGCTTAAAGCCGTTTCATAATTGTGAATTAACAGGTACGTGTTCCTTTCTATCGTAAAGCGAACAATAAACTTATTGCATAATTATTTATACACAAAGCCAAAATATATCACTGGAAATCAGCTAAACCATAAAGACCAGACAGTTTGAGTTTGTTCAGAATTTCTAGTAGGTGTAATCGCTTCACGCCGACGACCTAAAGGTCGCACGCTGGACGCAGGCCGCTACCAACCGTGCGATGTTGGGGGAGGCCTATGTTCAGCAGTGGACGTCCTGTGGCTGAAATGATGATGATGATAATGAATCGCTTCAATTATTTATACAATAATCGAACTCTTTTCTCAGAAACTGCCGAATCAAAGTCCACTGCCACCGGCACGTCGACCAACAGCCTGGAGCTCATGTGCTCGGAGCACATCACCAACCACGTGGCGCTGCGCTGGCGCCTCACGACCAGCGGCGCGGGCGGGCGCGCCTGCGTGCGCGGCATCACGCTCTCGCAGGCCATGATGGACATCGTGCGGATGTCGCCGCTCAACTGGGGTGAGCAGTCTGAGTATTACAGGGCAGAGTCTGAGTATGAGTCAACAACCCTTACAGGGGACATTAAACCAACAGCTTAGAGTTCCTGAGCTTAGCAAAACACATCAGGAATAACGTGGACCATTGCTGGCGCTCCACGCTCTCACAGACCATGATGGACATCGTGCGCATGTCGCCGCTCAACTGGGGTGAGCAGTCTGAGTATTACAGGGCAGAGTCTGAGTATGAGTCAACAAACCTTACAGGGGACATTACACCAACAGCTTAGAGTTCCTGTGCTTAGCAAAACACATCAGGAATAACGTGGACCATTGCTGGCGCTTCACGCTCTCGCAGGCCAAGATGGACATCGTGCGCATGTCGCCGCTCAACTGGGGTGAATCGACAGCTTAGAGTAGCCTTCACAGGAGTGGACATACAGTAGACCAACAGCCTCGGGCTCATGTGCTCGGAGCACATCACCAACCACGTGGCGCTGCGCTGGCGCCTCACGACCAGCGGCGCGGGCGGGCGCGCCTGCGTGCGCGGCATCACGCTCTCGCAGGCCATGATGGACATCGTGCGCATGTCGCCGCTCAACTGGGGTGAGCAGAGTCCACGACTTCGAGCTTAGAGTTGAGCCTTCACAGGAGTGGGCAGTGACATTTGACCAACAGCCTCGAGCTCATGTGCTCAGCGGAACAAATCTCGCAGGCCATGATGGACATCGTGCGCATGTCGCCGCTCAACTGGGGTGAGCGGACGACAGCTTAAAGTAGAACCTTCATAGTAGTGGACACGTGGGCATTAGACCAACATCCTCGAGCTCACGTGCTCAGAACACACCACCAACCACGTGGACCTGCGCTGGCACAGTTTTGGGGAATTCGTATTAATTTTATTGGGTAACTCTTTAGGGCGCCGCTTCGTCTGGAAAGGACGTGGTATACTCTCTAAAACCTTACTGCACGGATATTGTATCTAATACAACTTTCGGTTCGCACCACATTACCACATTTACCACTTATGTCCTTGATTTCAGCAGAAGTGAACGGGAAGGAACCAGCTGGTGATCTTCACTACTATGACAGTTACTAACCTTGACTTGTATTCCGCAGAGGTGAGCGTGAACCAGCAAGTGATAGCTCCGCAGCAGGAGCTTCGCTGCGCGGCGGGCGAGTGCGTTGCTTTAGGAGTGCGCGTGCGCAACCGCCTGCCGCGCGCGCTGGCCCGCCTGCGGCTCTCCGTGCAGCTCTACCAGGACTACAACAACGGCGCGCTCAGCTACCGCCTCGACAGCCGGGTCGCGGCCGCCGGGAACAACAAGTGAGTGCCGCACTAGTCCTCACAGCAGGGCCTCAGCAACCGCCTGCGGCTCTCCGTGCAGCTCTACCAGGACTACAACAACGGCGCGCTCAGCTACCGCCTCGACAGCCGGGTCGCGGCCGCCGGGAACAACAAGTGAGTCACCATCATCATGATTTCAGCCACAGGACCTCCACTGCTGAACAATGACTTCCACATCGCACGGTTGGTAGCGGCCTGCATCCAGCGCCTTCCTGTTATCTTTATCAGTGCTACCTTTACAAGTGAGTACACCACTAGTGAATACCACGGCAAGAGTGAATAGGCACTTACAGGGCAGATATATGTCTCATCCTAGACGGCATCTCACTTAACACCAGGTGCGATTGCGGTCAGATGCCTTGTTATGCATAAAAAGAAAGTTCGCGCCCCAGCAGGGTTCTGAATTGAGATTTTTCAACTTAAAAACTTGCGTAAAAACAAGACTCGTGATTGAATTCTTGTTCAAGAAGTTAGACATGACGTAAAATATAAAGTAATAAAGTTGATTTATACAAGGTGTATGTTTATTTTCAGAGTCGTATTACCTACTCTCCCAGAATCGGCAAAGGCGTATCACGAATGTACGGTAGTATTCCTTACTCCTGGGGAATACAAGATCGACATACAATGCTCCACCACGGAACCGGTGCTCGAGGACACTGCGATACTCAAGGAGTCGGATCACCAGTCGCTCATCCAGCCGTGCGCCGGCGAAGTTAGTCATGTATGGAGATTCATTCCACCTGTAGCTATAAGCGTCACGGATTAATATTATTTATTTATTTTTGTATGCTACCAATTATTGTTCATANTTAGCTAACCCCTTTAAATTAAAAACCAAATTCCCTATCATCTTTAAAATCAGAGAAGCCCTTTTTAAATGTAAACAAGAGGGTTTAAATATCGTCCTGGCGTGGATCCCTAGCCATCGAGGTATCCCAGGCAACGAAACGGTTGATTCTTGCGCTAAACTTGCTACAACAACTGGCTCGCTTGAACACTATAAGTTATTTGCCCATGATGCCTCCTCTCTCCCACGTAACCACTTGCACAAGTCGTGGAACACCCACTGGGAAAACTCCAAAAGAATGGTTGGCAAATATTACGCGGATATACAAAAGGAAATTCCTTCAAGACCCTGGTTTTTTAAACATCAGAAATTACCAAAAAGAACCGTCTCCATCATATGTCGCCTGCGTCTTGGTCATGCGTGCACCCCTGTCCACCTTGCGAAAATGCGCATTAAAGATAGCTCCATCTGCGAGTGCGGCCTGGATGAAGGAACAACCAACCACATCTTTTTTAACTGTCCCAAAATTGGATCCTCACTGTTCGATTTTCTCCCTAAAACTTTCCCCCGTCCCTCTAACATTAAATGCGTACTTAACACCAATAACTCCCCTATTAAATAGCTTGACCTTATTCAAAGCTTAATAATAATGAGATAGGCTTTCCATTTTTCGTGCTATTTCCTACCTTTTTCTTCTCCTTTACTTCCGTTTTACACAGCTACTAGCGCCATCTGGCGTTTCCCCCCACCAGGCAGTGTTCGCGATTGCGAACTTCTAGCGTCATTGGCGTTTTGTTTTTCGTCGAGTGCGGACGGTCTCACTGAACTGCGTACTAAATTCAGTCGACCGTTATTTTCGTTCCTACCTACGATGTAAGTGATAAAAATTTTACTTCTTGTAAAGTATAAATTAGTTTTTCCGTTGCGGAAATAAAGTTTATTAACGTTTAAACGTTCGATTTTTGTTAAATTATAGTGTCTTCTCCGTTTTTTGTGTTTTNTGTTTTTTATAAAATATCAAATTCCTACAAGTTTTGTGGAGAAAATATAATTGATTTTGAGCTTTTTCTAACTAAAGTTACTTCATAGGATGGATGATTCGGAAACAGTGCAAAATGTGGGGGAAAATGAGGCGCGTGATCAACCAGGTCCATCTAGACCTAGGCCGAGGTCGGAGTCTTCGTCCAGCAGTTCCTCAAGTACGGACTCATCAAGTTCGGATTCCTCGAAGCGCAAGCGGAAACGTCGACATCATCGGCGCCATAAACGGAGCAAGCGGGCTAAACGGTCCGATGCCAGGTTAGAACAATTATTTAAAGAAGTGAGTGATTTACGTTATCATTTGGAGAATAGGAATAATATTGATTTGGACGATTGTATATCACTANTTTAATAAAAAATTACCTATTCAATTAGGACAAAGGAAATGAATCGCAGGTGAGTATAAAATAAAACCAAAGCTGTGTGATAAGAAATCTATTTACCCATATTAATTATAATAAGTCCTCTAACAATAATAATTACAATATATAAACAGTAAATAAAGGCACATTGCTCAGCGGTACATTATGTACTACCTATTTGGAAAAAGGTTTTTCAAATTATATGTATTTAAAAACAAGTAATATTAATTCACTGGTTCAAATAGATGTACAATACTTCTGCTAGAATTAGTTGATATAATTTCTTTTCTGTAAAATTTTTTAAAAGTGTTCTCAGATCTCCAATTTCCCTTCGCAAGTATATCATCAATAGGTAAATTATTTGCCCAGCTTTTTGAGGCAACAGCAGATCTACAACTACCTGGAGCTGCTATTATACCAGCTTTAACAAGAAGAGATTTCACCCAACCTGCTATGAGCGTCCGTGAAGCAGGCTTAGGTGTGCCTCTAAGATTAATAAATAAATTATTACATTTTGCTTCAACCCGTCTATCATTTAACAAGTCTTTTGTACGATTCACCCAATAATACGATCTTACTGCACAAATCTGTGATATCAACTTTATGCAATGCTAATGACGCAGGTAAAATTAGTAATCACCCTTTGATTAAACACATATTAAAATCAATTGCTCTCAAACAACCGGTAGCAAGAAAACCAAATGTATGGAATATTGATGATCTTCTATTGTATTTAGCAAATAGTTCAATTGATTGTAATAACGTTTTTGAAACTTCTAGGCATACTGCTATATTACTATTGCTCTGTTCGGGTAGAAGAATACACGATCTAACACTTTTGAATGTTGATCCGCAACATATGATCCAATCTAATGATAATATTATATTATGGCCAAGGTTTGGCTCAAAAACCGATTCGGCTACGTACCAGCAATCTGGCTGGAAAATTCTACGTAATTCTGTCAATAAAAATTTAGATCCTGTATATTGGGTGAATCGTACAAAAGACTTGTTAAATGATAGACGGGTTGAAGCAAAATGTAATAATTTATTTATTAATCTTAGAGGCACACCTAAGCCTGCTTCACGGACGCTCATAGCAGGTTGGGTGAAATCTCTTCTTGTTAAAGCTGGTATAATAGCAGCTCCAGGTAGTTGTAGATCTGCTGTTGCCTCAAAAAGCTGGGCAAATAATTTACCTATTGATGATATACTTGCGAAGGGAAATTGGAGATCTGAGAACACTTTTAAAAAATTTTACAGAAAAGAAATTATATCAACTAATTCTAGCAGAAGTATTGTAAATCTATTTGAACCAGTGAATTAATATTACTTGTTTTTAAATATAATTTGAAAAACCTTTTTCCAAATAGGTAGGTACATAATGTACCGCTGAGCAATGTGCCTTTATTTACTGTTTATAAATTGTAATTATTATTGTTAGAGGACTTATTATGTTATAATTAATATGGGTAAATAGATTTATTATCACACAGCTTTGGTTTTATTTTATACTCACCTGCGATTCATTTCCTTTGTCCTAATTGAATAGGTACTTTTTTATTAAATACTGTATTAACTCACATTGGCGTTTCTTCCACCACCAGGCGATAACAGACATGTCTCATTATTATTAAGCTTTGAATAAGGTCAAGCTATTTAATAGAAGCGTTTTACCTTACAATAAAACGCATATTAAATACTTACCTTATTCAAAGCTTAAATTTTAATCCTGCCTGCTGGTATAAAATCGTGCAATGACGCTAGAAGTTCGCAATCGCGAACACTGCCTGGTGGGGGGAAACGCCAGATGGCGCTAGTAGCTGTGTAAAACGGAAGTAAAGGAGAAGAAAAAGGTAGGAAATAGCACGAAAAATGGAAAGCCTATCTCATTATTATTATTAAGCTTTGAATAAGGTAAGTATTTAATATGCGTTTTATTGTAAGGTAAAACGCTTCTATTGTACATCAAAAAAACAATAATTCTTTGAAGGTTATGAGGGCCTATGTGTGCGTGAACTGTGTGTATGTGTGCGTGGACTTTATGTATGTATGTGTGCGTGTACTATGTGTGTATGTGAGCGTTACGTACGTAGGTTAAGTACAGCGAATTTAACACCAGGCTGTCAATTAGTAGGCTCAAAAATTTGACAGAGAGGGTTCTCTATTTCCTATGTATTACTTTTCTCTATGTATTACTCTCTCTCATCTGTGTATAGTTCCAAAATACTGGACTGTCCTGTCGATGATATTGACAGTGGGGCGCCACCGTCAATACCGGATCGCTGGTTCAGATTTTTGCCATGTTGGAAACCATATAGTTGAACGATGGTAGCGCCCCCCTGTCATTGAGTTTGGTGGGACAGTTCAGCGTGGGTCATCTATATTATATGACATGACAGCAGATTGTTTTTTCATAGTTTATTAAATTGTTTTAGGCAAAGGCATTAGATGACTAACACTGAATTCCATAGAGTTACGCTGAATTCCCACCAAACTCATTGACAGAGGGGCGCCACCATCGTTCAACTATAAAATTAATATCTTGATCGTTTGTACTTAAAAGAGTATTAATACAAGTGGGAAAAGCAGGGAAAAGGGACACGGAGCACCTTAAAGTTTAGAAAACGTGTCCTAGCCGAAAACATGCTAAAGTTTTCGGCGGTTGCCAATAGCCATTTTGCTAGCAAATTTTTGCTAATTATTCGGCTGAACGCAGCCATTCATCTATCAGTCACAAAATGGAGGCCACACTCCGAATACCTACTTGAAGCATAACCTATGTATCACTATCTCGCTCTCTGTGGGCACTCTCTCTTTCTAAATAAACAAAAAATATAAATTTGCTCAAAGTCAATGAAACTCAATGTAAAATCCTTATTTCTTGACATAGGTGTCATTAAATGATAAGTGTAAATACTGGTAAAACGTTTTAGGAAGAAATTAAATGAAAAATGTGAAAAATGTTTACAATGATCCAATGTCGGAAATCACGAAATAAACACGCGTGGAATCTTAAGTCACTTCCAGGACACCACGTACTACCGCAACCACGCACTACAAAATTTTGCACCATTTCTTGTGATAAAACAATGATTATGTCCTATAAAAATCTCAAACGAAATTAACTGCATAATAAATAAAATAGTAAACAACTGCCATGATGGGCCGGATTGGGCCGATGTTGCCACAATATGGTACCGATTCCCCAGGAATTGGGATTGTAATTCCCTGATTCGCCAACACATTAAGCCTAAACGGCCGACAATCATGTGATTTTTAATTTAACTAGGTAATCGTAGTTCAAATACTTAATTATTTATTTGTTTAACTTCTGATTTGGTTAGTGAATTGGCTATTGCGAAGAATTTACTAGGAGATTTAAATAAGGAGATAGCAATACTACAGTCTAATTTTTTAGAAATCAGCAGAAATGTCATCAAACATGGCCAACTGACATAAAAATATTTTTAGTCTGTGAACTAGTGATGCGACAAAACCTCTCGTTAATCGCGAAGTGAAATTATTGTAGTACTTGCGTATCATCGCCGGGTAATCGTCAAAATAATAAAAATATGCAACAAAGTCGCAACATTGAATGTGAACTGATTATGAAATTTTCGAGAACAGGAAACAAACTGTATGCACAGATGTAATCAAAAAACAAACTGTGGACAGTAAAATCCGTAAAGTTATTAAACTTCAAATAGTTGCAAAAAGTTCTGTTTGACAGTGTTGCTACTAGTGACATCTCGCTCGCTCAGTCCTTTGTTTCTCTATTCCGCTAGGGAGGTAATTAATAAGATGCTATCAATTAAAAGAAGATTTTTTTTCTTTTATTAATAAGCAATGGAACAATACGTAAGCATTATTGCATAAAAAAGGAAAATAATTTCGTTTAAATAAAACCGACTAAAAATTAAACTGACTCCGAAAGAGTATACACTAAAAGTAGAAAAATAATTTTACGTTATCTCCAATAATGTAAAACTTAACAAAGTATCGTATACTTTTTATTTAAAATTAATCAGTAATTGGAATAAGTGAATACTTAAAGAAATATCGATTAAATTTACAGATTATTGTCTATGACTCACAGGTTACAGCACTGATGTGTCAGAGACAAGTCATAGACAATATGGAGATAACACATGATTTTAAACGTCAAGTCAATTTGACAAGTCTCACAAATTTTCATTTTGCTAAAATAATTTGTTTCAAAGATTGATTTCAAACTTGTATAAACGTGAAAATAAAGTTGGTTTCATGGGCTTGTTAAATAATGTGTATGATATTATGAACACGTAAGTGATTATGGTGTAATTGTATATGAAAGTGTTTGTTTACATCTCTGCTGGATTCTAAAAAATCAAGGTTATACAATCCACACTAAAAAGAGAGGTCGGCCCACAGAGAGCGAGATAGAGATAAGTAGGTATTTGACTCAAGTTGTTGTTCCAAGTGTGGCCTCCATTTTTATCTTTTATTCAAAGCCGTTGTTAACTTCTATGAAAAAAAAACAGACAGATTAGGTCTGTGATTATAATATACCTAATTTTCCGGAAAACAAACTAAAAAACAAACAAATCAAATCCTAAATCTACGTTTTTCACTCTGAAATGGCTTCTATCAAACCGTTAAAATTAGAAGTTTACAATTCTATTGTCAGCGACTTTAACAAAATGAATTCGTTTAGCAGGAAAAGTGAAAATGAGCTGAAAAAGAAATATAAACAGTGTGTTATTTTTAATATTAATCTGCATTTAATGTAAAGACTAATAGAGTGATATGATAAAGTAAAATATCATATAAAGAATAAGATGAAGAAGGGTTATTGGTAACCTATAGGCCCTAAGTATCCAGAGTGGAAAAAATCAATAAATTGACACAAATTTTAATAATTTCAGCTTACCACCATGTACTTTAGGGAGCATCATATCATTGTTGGTTCAGAGGTCTATGAAACAGAACTACAGAAAGTCACCTATTATATCAAGTAAATATCATGATCTCTATGAGGAATTGATGAAAGAAACCGATGGTGGCATTGTTATTTTGCAGTAAGTAGTACATATAATTTGACTTTAAATTAAAGGCAATGTCCAGACTGATTGAACACCTTTGATTTGAATAAAATACAGGGTGGAAACGTTAAGTGATCTCACTCGATTATTTCTTAACTATACAAGATATTAAAAAACTGGTTACTGATCCTGAAAGTGCTTAATGAGCTCTTTCAAACGGTACCAACAATAAGTTACAGAATAAACTGGATCTATCTGAAAATTGAATGTTTCCAGCTTCCATACTAAATGTAGGTATGCCAGACAATATTAGAAGTGTAATTTTTTAAATTTAATAATAAATACTTAAAATAAACTCGTAAATTGTATTCTTATTTTAAATTATTAATGAAAAACATTGGTTTTAGGCTTTACTTGCTATAATATTGTCAAGAGATGAGTGTCATATAGGTCATCCATAAAGTACGTCACACGTAAAGAGGGGGGGAGGGGGTTGACAAAGTGTGACATGGTGTGACAAGGGGTGGGAGGGGTCCTAAGTTTTGTGACATCACATTTCAATTGTTTCAAATATTTGATATAATGTTGATTTCATTAAAAAAAAGTACTTAATTTAAATTAAAATAAAACTAATTTCGGAACTGCTGTTAATTTAATAATTTTTCGATGTGAAATTGCAAAACATGTGACACACACTAGGGAGGGGGGGTCTCAGAAATGTGACCACCTGTGACATGGACGGAGGGGGGGTCAAAAAATCATGAAATTCGTGTGACGTACTTTATGGATGGCCCCTGACTGTGGTAGTACTAAATGTATGGAAGAAGGAAACATTGAATTTTTGGTTAGATCCAGTTTATTCTGTAACCTATTATTGATACCATTGGATCTGCAAAGTCTGAAAGTGCTTGTGAAGCACTTTTAGAATCAGTAATCAGTTTTACGATATCATATGTAGTTTTTAAAATAATGTGACTTTACCAAATGTATGGAAGCTGGAAACATTGAAGTTTCGGATAGGTCCAGTTTATTCTGTAACCTACTATTAATACCGTTTGATAGAGCTCATGAAGCACTTTCAGGATCAATAACTGGTTTATTGATATCTTGTATAGTTTAGAAATAATCGAGTAAGATCACTTATCGTTTCCACCCTGTATAGTAGACTCTTAATATTGAACAAAAACATCTAAGTCAACAAATACCTAAGTTTGTCATAGATGTGACGTATTCTACAGATAAGAAATCTGCTATTTTTATAGTCATTAATATGCAAAATGCATTATTAGTATAATGCTAAATATATGCAACTATGTAACTCTATTTTTGGATTATTAGTATTCAGAGGGTTCTAAACAAAGTGCGCTTTAAAATCGTAAACCAGTCAAAAATGGTCGAAAAGCCCTTTTTTGTTCGAATTGATAATCGAATCCATCAAAACTATGGAGTTTGATTTTCTTTTCGATCAAAAAGTGCCACTTGTCTAGGGGGGCTGTTCTGAAATGAAATAAATATGTGAATCACATTCTTTGGGAATCATATAGTAGGGAATTTAGTGCAATGATTTGTATGGAGACCCCTCCACTTTGGTATAGAAGGCTCATTTTTGCACCAGTTGTTCTTTGGGTGCTCCTGAGTAGATTTCCGTCGGTAGACATCGGGAGCCCCATCGAATCTCCCGTACTATGATATCAATCCACACTTTCCTCACACTTACCTTTCCGTTATTAAATCACTGGTACAATAGTATGTAGATATTAGTGTTAATTAAAATAATAATAACCATGACGTTTAGACAAATTCAAGTTCTTTATTTAGTGCTTTCTTCTTATGATATTTTCAATAATAAAATGTATTTAAGCTATTTTCAACCTTATGACTTACACATAGAGTTCAAAATTAATTGAAGAAAAAATACAAATCATGGTAGCTTGATGTGCCAGGAACTGTAAATAAATTCTAAAATAATAATCTTTACTTGCTTATGAACCAAATAGTATGAATTCATGGATAAAATAAATATTTTTTTCCGACGTGCAGTAAAATTCGCCCGCTGTGTCCTGAAGAAAAATTTTTTTTCACCTACTTTTTTCGAAAAAAGTACCATACAATGGTATAATATATTTATAATCCTCATAAATGTAGCTTCCAGGACATATTTTTTTTATTAGATTATCTCCAGTGGTTTAAAAGTAAACGACGTTTATTTAAAAAAATACTTTTTGGCTTTTGTGAATTTTGCTCAATATTTCTATTTTTTTGTATGAAAAGGCAAAAAGTTTGTTCTAGAAATGAATTCGCCATCCTTTAGTTATATGAAAATGACACCACACTTGCCCTAATACCCATAGTTTTGAAGATATGGGCCTTAAAGTGAAGCGCGGCAGAAGGAAACTTGCCCCCCCTCCCCCTGCTACCACAGGGGGGGCTCCCGATGTCTACCGACGGAAATCTACTCAGGAGCACCCAAAGAACAACTGGTGCAAAAATGAACCTTCTATACCAAAGTGGAGGGGTTCTTGCACTAAATTCCCTACTAATACCATTGATACCTTAGATTTAATATATATATTTATTTATTAATCTAAGATTGATACTTACACTTATTTAATTTAGTTTGCCTCAATGTTATGTTGTTAATTGTAAAATGGATGCTTCCTTTTAGGTTGGCGGAACGCCAGGGAATAAGTCCTGCACTCTTTGCAAGATCATTATTACAAAATGTTTATTCTGATTCTCTTATGACTAAGAAATCCATGAAAGACACAACACTAATAGAAGATAAGGACTTAGCATATCAAGTATTTCTGGTAATTAAATGTTGCTTTGTTAAAATACAAAAATAAACCATATGCCTATATAGATTATTCCCTGCACAAGTCATTTTTCATAATTATTTAGAGCAGTTTTTTTTTAAATAATATGCATCTCAGCATTCAAGTTTTGATACTATTTAAATTAACTTAATAAATCCACTAAAACGGAGATCATTTTACAGGGTGTTATGAATGATAATCAATATGGACCTCACGCAGACATAATAAAGCAGTGAGTATTACCCACAGTAGTCTTGTTTTCATTGAACTTTTTCTGGTAGTAATCTACAATAACATCCATTGTTTTTTTACAGGTCTGTTGGCTTAGAATATGAACTCAGATTAGAAAGAGAATTGAGATTAATGAATATTACATTTTCTGATGAAAACATATTACGATCAAGAGGATATGATAAAACTCCTGACTTTAAACTTGATGTTCCTGTTGCAGTGGATGGATTCATAATAAACTGGGTGGAAAGTAAAGCCCTGTTTGGTGATGAAGAAAATCATTCTGGTTACCTAAAAGAACAATTAATGTGTTACTGGAACAGGTTTGGGCCTGGTCTAGTCATATATTGGTTTGGTTATTTAGAAACACTAAATTCAATGCCAGAGGTCAATAATATGTTCATACTCCGTACTAGTTTTCCAGAGAAGTCTAGCATTACCCAGTATAAATATGAATTGTAAAAATAACAATAGAATAAAAACTATAGCTAAAGATAATTATATGTTGTATTTCTGTTCTATTCAGACAAAACCGGCGTAGTGGCGTCTTTCCGTTCTATAGGTACATAGCCAGAACGCAAGGGTGTGAAACTAATCGAGTATAGTTTGGAGATGACTTTTTTTACTAAGCTCCTCCAAACTATACACGACCAGTACGCATATGCTGCGTACTGCTCGCGTATACTTTGTAGTGACTTAGGTCAATTATCTTGCTCCAAAATATACATCGCCAGTACGCATACGGACTAATCATGTATGTATTGTAATAAGTGCGTGATTACAATTTATACGCCAGTAGTTGCATGCTAGTCATTTTGTCTTATTGACCTCTCTTTCTATTACTTAATAATTCATATCTGCGTGTCTACTTTAAACATTGAATCATCTTTCGACACGTGCCATTGTTTTAATAAAGGATTTTTTGGTGTTTCTCATTCTGCCATAGAAAAGATATTTTTTTTGGGGCTGATATTTAATTTTTACCAATTCTCGAATAACTCTTAAATTAAGAATTATGTAGGTATGGAAATATGTCAAAATGATTTTGTTCTTGAGATAAAAGTTAATAAATAAAATAAATAATAAATAAATATCCTTAATTCCTTACACATTTTACACTGCGCTTCTAGTCCCAAACTAAGCAAAGCTTGTACTATGGGTACTAGACAACGGATACCCATCAAAAACAATACTTGTCAAAAAAACCAAGTCTCGCAACTCAGTTGTTCTACGGTAAAAAGTTGTGAGATCCATGTAATACCAAGTCCAGGCCAGGAAATCTTTAATTAACGTTTTACATAAATTATTGACTTGGCCATCGCACTAAATAATTTAATTTACACGTGTTTTCATGCGATGGCCAAGTCAATATATTTATGTAAAACGTTAAAGAAAGATTTCCTGGCCTGGACTTGGTATTACATGGATCTCACAACTTTTTACCGTAGAACAACTGAGTTGCGAGACTTGGTTTTTTTGACAAGTATTGTTTTTGATGGGTATCCGTTGTCTAGTACCCATAGTACAAGCTTTGCTTAGTTTGGGACTAGAAGCGCNCTTATATTCCAAATTTGAAGCTTCTAGGTCTGCTAGAAGTGCCTTAGAGTTTTGATGATCGGTGAGTCAGTGAGTCAGTCAGTGAGTGACAAAATTAAGTAACTTTGACCCGTTATAATTCTTAAACTACTGGTTCAAATTGAATGAAATTTTAAATATACCGTGTCTTTACAATGCCTGCATAGCTAATGAAAATTCAGCCTTCTAGTTTTATCCACAACGAAGTTACAGGCGGTCGAAAATGGCCTGAATTGCTTCGAGAAAAGGTACGGCCGTGCCGCTTTTTTGCTCGACGTGCCCCCAGATAAATAAACATACATACTTAAATACTTTTTTTTTGTAAATACATAGGTACTTACTATACATAGAAAACACCCAGTCCAATACAAACAAATATGTTCATGCACACAAATGTTTGTACTGTGCGGGAATCGAACCCGCTACCTCCGGAATAGTAGTCCGTTTCGAACCACTACACCAAACGGCCAATAATACAAACCTAGCATTTAAAGTCTCGCATAATGTACCCGTTGAACTTTCTTCTCTCACTCTCTCTCATTTTAAATGAATTTATTATTATACTAATAATTGTTATTTAATTTGAAATCTACCTAATCAATTTAATTTCAAAAACCACTTACAATAGTGTTAAAAATCTATATTTATTATAGATTCAGTAAAATAATAATATTTTATGTAATAATATCGAATAAATGTAATTTTAAATATAATTCCATATTTTACTAAATCAATATCAACTAAACACACTTTAGTCAAGTGTAAGTGGTGTAGTAAAAACTGATCGAGTATAGTTTGGATATGACTTTTTTTACTAAGCTCTTCCAAACTATACACGATCAGTACGCAAAATTCGTGTATAGTTTGGAGTAACAGATTTACAAACGGGCACTACAAAATATACACGAGCAGTTTCCTTATGGGTGCGTTCTGGCCATGCCATGTACCTATAGAACGGAAAGACGCGGCGTAGTGCGAGTCGGACTCGTGCACCGACTCGAGAGTGAGATTACAAACCTGAAGGTTTAATTTTGTTACAGCTTGTAGGTACTATAGACCTGCATGGTAAGCATAGGATCGTAAACAAACCATTGAAGTAATATTATGAAACAAACGCGATTGTCGCCGACTCGTCGACACTAAACCTAACAAACACAGTGGGCAATCTAAGATATGTAACAAAGTGTACTTACGACATCATCAATTGTTATCTTTTTTCAATGTAGGTAGGTAGGTAGTTAGATAAAATTTGAAAAAAGTGTAAAAACATTATTAATGCATGTTAAAAAAAATCGTTTCTTCTAATTGTCACTCCAGGCTTTTATTTTTAATTACAGCCACCTTACAGGTCCACTGTGGATTGTCGTATGAACAACCCGCTTTGGACCCGGTGGCGTCTCGAAACCTGCTTACGGGCATACTTAACTCCACGGAATCCATGAAAAATCAATAGAACTGAAACACCCACGTTCTATTGATATATGTTATATCTATGTCAATTATTTTTTACTTGACATTGGCAGAAATAAACCTCCCAGAGAGGTTTGGTTACCATTAAAAAAAAAAACTCCTGTCAATGTCATCCATCTGTCACACCTGTCACTCGCTGGCCTTCCTTGCTCCTGCACACAGATATGGATGGATCCATATCTGTGCTCCTGCACCTCTAATCCATATCTGTGTCCTGCACCTATATAAGGTGTTATTTTTTATACTGATCATACTTTACCAACGCATCTAATAAAATCATACAAATACAACCCAAGTGTTTTTAAAAAAAAATTCAGGCTAGTTTATGTTTTTACTTTTCCTACCAAAAAAAAGATATTATTTTTACAACCATCCTGTCTTCACTCACTGCCTCTCTCTCTTTCTTTACTCATTTCATTCATACGAGTACGAACAATGGCCGCGCGCGTTCATTCAATGTTCACACACTTATAGGTTAGATTACACTAAACCTACGTTACCAAAAATTATCACTCGTGAGTATGTACGATGTTACGTCATGTTAATAGGTACTACGCGCTGGGAGAAACAAAATCTAGCCACATAAGTAGGTAAATAAGTGTATTTTCATTAGTGTAATAGCGGGGGACTTTTCCAACGAACCGAGGCGAATCATCCGCGTTAAACTAGAAATTTAAAAAAGGATAGAAATTGGAATTCAATATCTACGGTTTCGTAATGCCTACGCAATTTATTTAGAGACGTAATAAAAAATTGATAGGTACATACCTATTACTACTTCGCTTCGCTTCAGTGGAAATGCACCCTAATATTGAATATGAATAGGTGTTGTAAATAAAACTCACTGATCAATTTTCCTGGTTTTAATTCCTAAATTATGATTTGCCATCACACTTTAGATTCATTGATTTTACTTATTCACACATTTACCTATTTTGAATGTTGTTATTTAAAGTTCCTAGGTTATTATTACACTAATCACAATACATTTTGAACGTCAAGCCTTTGTTGAATGTTCACGTAAACACTGTCTTGCACTGTCTAATCTAGCCACGATCGAATTGAGGTAATGCTTTCGGGCTGCACACTTGCTTGCTGTTCACTAGACACCACGTCGGATGTTGTATTCACAATTCGCGCACTAACTTTTTTACGGAAAAAGTCCCTTTCGCGTAAACAAGCACTCATCTGTCCAAATCACACTGTAGGTATGTACCTAGGTAGACTTCCGCAATAACCATCGATAGAACTCGGTCGCGGTCGTGGCCCTCTGGCAACAACTCCTTGATAAGGCATTCCGTATTTTTACGCAAAAGCCGCCGTCTGCGGCGCTCGCATCTGGGTACCGCCAGCACTGTGCCGGTGATTGAAATTGAAATCCAGAACTTCGTCCTCGAAGCGCACGGGATCTCGTCAAGTCAGGATACGGCTGCGCTCCCTGAAGCGCTGCGCGGCTCCAAACAAGCAAGGTGTGAAGGTTTTCGACTCGTCAATGTTTCTCGTCGGCCAGTTAGTGTGCCCGAAACATAATTTCACCTGCGTTTTGTTATTTATCAAGCGCGGCATTGTAATAACTCGCACACACACACTGCAATACGTTTGGGCACAACATTGGATTGACTGGGACGATTGTTTATGTTGTTGCGCTCCCGCATGCCGATCGGCAGCTCGGCGCGGGCTGTGGGCGCGGAGCGACTGGCAGCGATATCAATATGGCCGACTCACGTGGCAGCGGTCGTTGCCCTCGGCCGGCTACTACGATAGTGCGTAAACGAATACTCACCGCGCTCAAAGGATGATTTATTTTTTATTTTTTTCGAAACATTCTTTGTCGTTTTACTCGAAAACTAGCCTGAATTTTTTTTAAAAACACTTAGGTTGTATTTGTATGATTTTATTAGATGCGTTGGTAAAGTATGATCACTATAAAAAATAACACCTTATATACTCTACTCTTCACCAGTGTTGCCAGAAGGTTACTTTTGTAACTTTTTAGGTTACTTTTGAACTGCATTGGTTACTTTTAGGTTACACTAATGAAAAGGTTACTTTTAGGTGATTTTTCAGAAATTGTAGAATTAACTTTTACAGGTTATTCAGTAAAAAATATTAATAGTGACAATTTACTAATCTGCATTGAAACATGAATTTGATTTATTATTTGTGTAAAAAAAATGAGTTTTAGCGAATGTTTTTCGATAATAAAACGCAAATCCATGAAACGTTTTTATACGACCGGTCACTTTTCAGTCTTCATGGAATGGTCAAAATTTCGAATTTAGGTAAACGATTGATTCATCCCAACTAATATTATAAATGCGAAAGTAACTCTGTCTGTCTGTCTGTTACGCTTTGCCGCTTAAACCTCGCAACCGATTTTGATGAAATTTGGCATAGAGATAGTTTGAGTCCCGGGAAAGAACATAGGATAGTTTTTATCCCGGTTTTTGAAACAGGGACGCGCGCGATAAAGTTTTTCTGTGACAGACAAAATTCCACGCGGGCGAAGCCGCGGGCGGAAAGCTAGTTTTCCATACATGAACAACCTTACACAATCGCTTTGAACCCGTATGAAGGTTACTTTTTTTTTATTCAAAAAGGTTACATTTTTTTATATTTCTGGTAATTTCTGACAAGACCCGACTGGCAACACTGCTCTTCACGCGAAGCCGAATTGTTTGGTTTGGTTGTTTCCACAGATATTCCATATCTGTGGTTGTTTCGTTGTTGATTTCTCGCTTCTTATTAAATGTTATTTATTTTGTAATTTCCTAGATGGTTTACATCCGTACTAGTCGCGTTTGTCAGGCATTATCATAGATACATTCAAATACATTGTATCAGAGGGTAAAAAATTCTCGTCCAGGTTTTCTTGCGATATAAGGGCATTCGTTTTATAAAATTTGACAAGATGATGCCAGGTAGAATGGGAACCTTACCAATAGCAGCTGAAAATCCATTAGGACTATCCTGGCATGATTCAGCTTGGATCCCATTGTTGAACCCCTCCAATATAATGGACTACTTTTCAGAACGATCTAACCCATTTTTCGATCGCACATGCAACAATGAAGTTGTTAAGATGCAGCGTTTGAGTATGGACCAACTGCAGTAAGTGCTTATTAAAGATATTTGTCTTTATAATTTACTAGCTTTCCGCCCGCGGCTACGCGCGCGTGGACTACATTATCTACATATTTTACGGAACCCTATTTTTTTTTTAAATAAAATTTAGCCTATGTTACTCGTGGATAATGTAGCTTTCAAATGGTGAAATAAATTTTAAAAACGGTCCTGTAGTTTTTGAGCCTATTCATTACAACCAAACAAAGTTTTCCTCTTTAAAATATTAGTGTAGATAAATATAATTATTTGTCATTATTTTATTAAATAAATGGTGCTCTTTTAGGAATATGACGGGCTTGGAATACATTTTATTACATGTCCAAGATCCCATACTGTATGTTATTAGAAAGCAACATCGTCATGGGCCTAATCAAGCTACTCCACTAGCTGACTATTACATCATTGCTGGTATTGTTTATCAGGCACCAGACTTGGCCAGTGTTCTCAATTCAAGATTGGTATGTAGAAATTAAAATTAACTCTTTTTTATTTCTTTCTAAATTCTTATAAATACACATTTTTTTACTTTAAACATTACAGTATGGATGTATTAAGTTAGCAATAATAATTACCTATGATCGGAATCCCATTGATTAATAACATAAATATAATGCTGTATAATTACAGCTGCAATACAATTACAAAAATTACTTAATGGTAGATCTACATAATTGTAGAATTAGTTTGTAATTAAGTTATAATAATTTTATGAAAGAAAGTTAAATAGTAAAATAATACACCGCGTACATGTTGTATAATTTATTGTTTTGAATAATATTATTTATATGCATATTGTTTCATAACTAATGAATAAGTTTGAAAAATATATAAATTTTGATGATTAAATATTAATTTAATTATGTTTCAGCTTTCTGCTGTTCACCATTTGCAATGCTCTTTTGAAGAAACGATGTCATATTCACGTTACCATCCCAGCAAAGGATACTGGTGGGATTTTAAAGCCACAAAACCAGGTCAGTAATTATGACAGTATAAAATTTCAAAAGTATTTTTCAGGGTTCGAGATATTATGTATGGGTCATTCCATAAAGATCTGTATAATTTCGACGTCATTTTGTCCTAAACTTTTTTAAGATGCTTATGAATAGATACTTTATTAGTGTAAAATATTGTTTATTAATTAATTATGTTATGTCTAAAAGGGCCAGTCACTTTATGCTTTATTTTAGGGGAAATGGGGATGTTGCCTGGGTCAAAAAGCAAGAGTTTTAATTAGTCCGTCAGTTAACTTATCAAAAAATACTCTACACGTATTTTTCACTTTTTCAAACTAATGAAAATTTAAAGAGATAAAGCGCCCCAAAGTTCATAAGAAGAGGCCCGTGACGTCAACGCTTGCTTAACACATTGAACGCCAACGCGGTCAATGTTGTCCGACACTGCACTTTCCTACCAGGCCAAGTAAAAATTTCAATTTTTTTCAATTTTCGTCGATTGTTTTTTTTTGTTAAATCGTTACATTATAAACATAAATAAAGGATTTTATTAACCTATAGTTGTTTTTGAGTCTCTACATCGAATTATTAAGCGTCGGACATCATTGACCCCCATGGCCCCAGCGAGCGAAAATCCGAAAATCCGTTCCGTAGGGCCGCGCGGTCATGTTGTNTATTTAATATGCGTTTTATTGTAAGGTAAAACGCTTCTATTTTAAATTCCCTTGTTAAATTCATCAATGTTAACAAAATTAATTTGTAGGTACTTTTAACTTGTCTTGCGAAATTCAATCCAAATCTCTTAGCCTCTCCCAACAGTCCCAACTAGGGCATGTAATATCGGAAGGTTTTCAATTCCGATATTGGATTCCGATATTAGATCTCAATATCGGAATTCCGATATTAATATCGGAATTCAGTTCATATGCTATAAAATTAATATTTGGTTATATTTTTACGTTATGGGCATCCATTGCATTTGGTTTTTTATGTGACAAGAGGCAAACGAGCAGACGGATCACCTGATAATGAATGGTTACTGATAATGAGCCTAAATATGGACTAGCAAATAAAGTGTTTTTGTAAAATCACAGGTATCAAACAAACTTTTACTCCTTCATTATATTACCCTGTTTTATGTTGGCGGAACGAATTTTAGAGTCATTCAAATCACGTGTTACAAAAATTGTATAGAGTGGTAAAAAACTTGAATATGCTTGTAATTTGTTCCTTTTTGATTATCGATGTACAACTGACAAAACCACGAGCCATCATCATGTCAGCCATAGGATGTCCACTGCTGAACACAGGCTCCGATGCTGATTTTCACAATGGCCGGTTGGCGGCGGCCTGCATCCAGCGCCTTCCTGCTACCTTTATGAGGTCGTCGGTCCACTTTGTCCTACGCTGCGCTTTACGATACGTGGCCTCCACTTCAGAACCTTGCTGCCTCTTCGTCCGTCTGTTTTGCGTACTAAGGCAGAACCGTTGGAAGACCTTATCACAATGCTCGAAGACCTTAATCGAGTTTCCCAACAGGTAGGCCTTCGGATGAATATGGAAAAAACGAAGCTTATGTCGAATGTCCATGTTGCTCCTTACCCAGTTTCGCTTAGGAGTTCGATTCTCGAGATTGTTGACAAGTAAGTATGTCTATATCGGACAAACGATCAGCTAGGTAGTTAGATGCAATTTCGAGAAAGAGCTAAATCGTCGAATACGAAGACGAAAGTTTTCAATTAGTGTGTGTTACCAGTGATGATATACGGATCGAAAACGTGGCCTTTGAATATAGGGCACAACGTGCTATGGAGAGGGATAAGCTTGGTGTTTCTTTACGAGATCTAATCAGAAATAAGGAGCTCCGTAAACTAACTAAGGTCGCTGATATAGCCTGATGGATTAGCAAGCTGAAGTGGCAATGGGCAGGGCACATAGTACGCAGAACTGACGGTCCATAGGCCAGTAAAATTAATGTTTGAAAGGGAGTTGAGATGTCGTTCTTTGTTGACCAAGTACTTATGGCAAATGCTAAAATTGATTTAGAACAAGTTAAATTAACCATAAATAGTAAAGATATTAAAATATTTGCAGTGGAACAAAAAGTGATGGTGAGAGACATGAGAAAATTATTGGTATTTGCCAATCATGTACTTTGGGCTTTGTGGCAGGTTATGGCGAGTTTAAACGCTTTGTTTAAAATCTCAATTAAAACTTTTATCTGATTCCGATATTACGATATTGGGTCGCTCAATATCGGAATTGAAATATCGGATCTCGCAGTCCGAGATTCCGATATTACGAGATTCCGAGATTCCGATATTCATGCCCTAGTCCCAACCCTTTCCCTTATCCCAATCCATGCTGTACAAAATTTTTGTGTTTTGTTTGTTTTGTGATGTCTTTTTGTGATTGTGTGTGATGTCTTTTTTGTTTTAGGTACGATAAGTCCGCTTAGTTTTGCAGTATTGAATTATTATCTATTTATTTTTTTATTCATAACATTGTGTAAAAGCTGCGCACGTGACATTGGCGGAACAGTGTGCCCCCAGTGGCGAAAAAACACAAGTCCATCGCCATCAACAAATGAAGAAGAAGAACAAAAAGGCTGAACCGATTTTCACCTTGTTAAATAAAAACCAACCAATATGTGTAAATTCCTGTAATCAGTTATAGCATATTTAATAAAATTAACGTTTTATTTGTAAATTTTAATGGATGTTGATTAAATTCGTATTATTAATGCTCTAGTTTACAACCATACCAAAATGGGTACTTATTTCGGGCTGTATCCCGGACTTGCAGGGCACACACTTANATGTTTCATTGCGCTACCGTTATCCACATTTTTTTTTCTAAGTCCGTGCTTTACCTGAGAACCAAGTGACGTACACTAATCTTGGGAGCCGCGCGGGTCAGCTTATATGAGAATTATTGAAGAAATGCTGTCCATCGGCTCAATACAGAGGATTAAACATAGGTCTGACTCGCAGTCATCATTGTCCGACGCGGCCCGAACGGAAAGTTAAAGTGTCGCCCATCATTGTCCCCCATGGCCCGAACGGAACAGTGCCATTTTTAGGCTGGCAGCGAAGGTGTTAAAAATGCCGCACGTTGTGACGTCGTGCGCAACTTCAACGCACCATAACTATGTAATTATTTGTTAGATTGACAAATAAAAATATATGTGTCCAATATTTTTTGATATTAAACATTACGAACTAAAAAAATTTTTTTAGGCAACTAGCCTATTATAATTTTAAATTTTTTCATATTACTACTCCTATATGACTTTTAATAAAGTATAAAACTTATAACCTTAACATTTATAGATAAGTTAATATACATAATGTAGTTGTTTTGTTATTATCACTATATAAAAATCCCTAGTGCCATTTAAAGCTAGGGCCTGACGGTCTAGGGACTGACGATTTGGAGTAAAACTTAACACAAATTTTTACTCCAAATCGTCCCTAGACCAAAATATTAACTTTATATTATAAGACGAGCTTTATATAATATAGATGCTTAATACGATGTGCCGAAAATAGCAGAAAATCCACACGTAAATACTATTAAATTATAAACAATTTCCTATTGTAATCAATAAAGCTACTCAACTAGGGACTGACGAAGTGACTAGATCAACACATGTTCCCACAACAACTGGCACGTTTGCACTTATTCAAAAAACGGCTGCCGCAAAGCCAGTATGGTCTGAGGATAACTTCGTATCGTACTTTAAACTCAACTTAATATCATTCACTCTAAATACATATTAAAGTGCAAAATTATAAAATCAGTGCTTGGCGAGGGAATGACGCTAAAAGCTGTGGACACTTTTTCGACTTAAGAAAATTAAATTATTGTTTATTGAAACCGCAAAATATTAATAGAATTTGGTGTAATGTATGTTTAAATAGATTATTCGTTAATTAAAACAAAGGATCAAGTAGATGTTTCTATGGATTACTAATGTTTGGCCAAAAAACGTTTCCCAAATTATCACATCGCAAACAACGTTTCGCAAATTTTCATTTGACAATACAACTTATTGCAAACTTTTAATTCGCAAATGTCGTTTTTGGCATATTATTGTTTAGCAAATTATTGGTTGGCAAAGTATGTTTTGCCAAATGTTTCATTTGGCAAAAATATTTCACGATAAACTATTTACAAAATAATTTGATTGTCGCATAGAATGGACTACAAATTAGCTTGTGGTTATTATTTTGTTTAGTGGGTAGATAATTTATGCAGTATATTATATGCAGTATAGGTTAGTGTCCGTGACTCTCACTCGGCATGGGGCACACTGAAAACCAGCGTCGTGGCTTCCCTCACCGGGGGCCACGGCATATGCTGAGTGAGGTCCCATTGCGATGGGCATCGCTGTGCGACAGGGTGGCACTGCTTAGTTTATTCATTCATTTATTGTATGTTTTATGTCACCTGTCTTATTTGCTTTTTTTTTTCATTTTACCTCTTTTGTCTTTTGTGATGTCCATAGCAATAAATGTTTCTTTCTTTCTTTCTTTCTTTCTATAATATAAAATTTGTTCTAAATTAATTTTCATATTTCATTCTTTTTATCGAAATTTCCAAATGATCCATTAAACAATAGAGGTGATTCTAGCGCTCGGCGGCCGCTGCCTGGTAAGAGATCCCTTGTATTTTGTTTACTTTAGAGTCATAATTGGTACACTTTCGAAACACACACGATGGCATTTTTTATTTATTTTGGTAAGAACAGGAACTTACGGTGTGGTACGCGAGCGATTGCGCACGACGCAGGCCACACGAAGACTAAACACAAGACGTCCCAATTGGGACGTATTTGAGTATTCACAGCGCGAGCGCTTATAACATATCTGCTTTTGTTTTTATATAATATCATTGTTTGGGATATAATATTTGGCAAAATAAAACTTTTGCCAAATGATAATTTGACCAAATGAATTAGTTGCGAAAAGTACAGTTGCTAAAAGTTCATTTGGGAAATGAAACTTTGGCGATAATTTGTTTGCGAAGTGAAATTTGGCGAAAAGAAATTTGACCAAACGGAAGGATACCTGTTTCTATAAATATGTGTTCCAAAACACAAACTTTTGGAGTACGGACCTGCTTAGGGAATGACGTTTTGGGTCATTTAAAAGGAATTTAAGAGAATATAGATTTTATGAGGGTGATGATTAAAACACATTGCAAGCTGTTATTTAACAATTTTGGAATAAAATATTAACAAATAGGTATTCCATGTGAAATGTGGCGCTAAGAGTTTACATATTTTTGTGGAATGACCCGTATATCAAGATATATTTTTATTAACATTAATTTCATTTCATTTGTTTAAATTGTAGGTCTCAGCCCTTTTAGTGTTACTCAATCAGCACCTAAAGAAACCACTGCTACCCCAAAAGAGGAACCTTCAACATTATTCCAGCGCCAGCGAGTAGACATGTTACTTGCTGAACTAGTAAGACAGTTTCCATTGCCAGTGACCCAAACTACCTCTAACCAGGTTAGTTAACATAGTTTTTTTTTTCTAGAATAGTACTTACCTACCTTTTTTTTAGTACCTACTTGAAAGTGAACAGTACAGTGCCGGATTAATTAACCCACAAGCTTAGATTAGCAATTGCTTATGGCATCACGTCTTGGAGGTCACCAAATCCCGCAACAAAAAATGCATAAAAAATATTTTTCGCAAAATTAACTTTCGTATAAGAGTAGGCGCACATCGTTGATTTTTCGTCGGCAGATACAGTCCTCTCAACTTAAGCTGAGAATTGCATTTGTGTGAGTGCACACCGATAGTTTAGAGTGGCAATCGGCTTGAAGCGCGGCGCGTCCCGCGCATGGTTTATTATAGCAAGCGGCCTGAAGCGCGGCGCGTCCGCCACGCACCGCTTCCTTGTCGCTCACATACTTCACTTTACCCCCGGTACTGGTAGCAGATACGTGTAATTTTATGTAATTGTGTTCCAAATATTAGTGAAATGGCTCCTACTGTAAGTGAATTTCCTGTACGAAATCCATTAAGCAGCCAAGTGAAAGAAATTTTATGCAAATTGAATACGTATTTTAAAGGTGTGAACGAAAAGTTTTTAGTCTGTTTTTATTTTGTAATTTTATAAAGTTTGTCTTTTTGTTGCATTTTGTAAGGCTGGCTGGACGCCCTCTCTATAAACGGTGCTCGCAGAATATCAGCGTCGAGGTACTTCGTGCCTTGGCATATGCTGAGCGAGGACCTGTTTTAATTTATTTATTTATTTAAAAGGATGTGTCAAGTATTGTTACATCGGCCCAATTGGTAGCAAGTGTTTTATAGACTTCCTTTTAATAAAACATTAATTTTATTTGTATGTGTTTTACTAACGGTACTTTTGGCGATCACTCACACAAATGCAATTCTCAGCTTAAGTTGATAGGACTGTAGTTTAGTCGGGCAGTTGATCAGTATGGGCATGTATGGGAGTGCGCACTCTACGCCGATTCAATTTGGCCGATTCTTCATACAATTTAATATCGGCCAACTAAAAATCAACGGTGTGCGCCTACTCTAAAAGTAACAAAACAGTTTCATAAAAACTAAAAGCTTAATTCATTAATTTAGAGTCCAATCTGTATTAAAGTTATTAATGCAATAAATTTTATAGTATAGGTCTTTTTGTTTTGAAAGTTAACCTTTTCACCGCCACGGTTTTCTATAGAAGACATCAACGTTTCCGTATCCTCCACATGGCCAAACCACGTCTAATAGAAGACATTATCTAATTACAGAATGATGGTGAGACCATGGTTAAAATAAATTACCCGTAGACCCACTGGCAAACACGTTTAGAACGGTGGGACAACGGGTAAAAAAAATTACCCGTGGAACCCACCAGGGGGACATGTTGGGGGGACCACGGGTAAAAGCCGATACTTTTAATAGGAGCTTTGTTTATTTTGAACAGAAAATTACAATAGCCTTTATTTTTTTCTGATAATACAATATTATTTACAGGTTAATGGAGTAACAGTAAAAACTGAAAACACGAATGACAAACATGCAGATAAGGCATCGGATGGAAGTAATGTAGGAAATATAACGATAAAACAAGAACCAATGGATCCTATCAATTCCGAAAGTATGGCTAATGGTAATATTCAAGGTCACATAGAAGTAAAAACAGAGATAAAACAAGAAAATATGAAACCACCACCAGAAAAAAAACCAAGAATGTAAAATAATTTATTTATACATTTTAACTTATTAATAAAAAATAAAGCTCATTTTTATTTTAGATCAAAAATATCTTTTTACATAGTTTTGAAATACTTCATATTGTCTTCTTCTTGTATATTAAACAAATTATCAATTTTTTCCTGTGTTGAGGTTCCATTGATACATAGCTGACAATTAATTTTCCTTGGATCTTTGAATGTTTCATTTATGTTCTTTGAACTAAAATTAATAAAATATTATATTAGCAAAACTTTGATAAAACTGTTTCTGAGTATATGCGTTAACCTAGCAAAGGAGAATGAGCAAAATGGTCTATGAGCGGCCAACAACGAAATAGGTATTAAATGAAAGTACTATTACTAAGGACTAACTTTTACTATGAACGTAACATTGCAGCTCATTTAGAAAAAAAAATACATATTATAGGTAAAATACTCAGATAAGTGCAAGAAAATGTGCAAACCTATTGTATAAAATACTTATTAACATTAGTTTATGTATTCAAAAGTAGGTATTTCAAAACGTCAGCATACCGTTTACAAGACTATCCTATGTACATTAAATGTATTAATGTATAATAATGTACAGTGTGTACTGATGACGGCAATAAAATATTCTCGTCTTGATGTCTAGCCTATGTATATTAAATGTATTAATGTAATTATAGCACCGAGTTCTGATGACGTTATCATTATTATTATTTTTGGCGATGTTTTGTCAGTGTGAAAATAAATGTAAAAGTAAACAAGTCATTTTATATTATTTCCTTACTTTTTTAAGACTAAATCTTAGTTATTAATAAGCTAAATCGCAGGCTTAGTACATAATCTAAATTAAAAATGTATTTAATTCCATAAATAATTACACTACCTACAGATATCAAACTTCTTGAGGGTGCTTGTAGGGTGATAGTAAACCAAAAAAACAAAAAAAAATTCCTGGCCGCTGATAGACCAAGCGCCGTACAATTTAGCCCATTCTCCTTTCTTCTAAAGCTTTTAGATATTTTACTTTACAAATACACACATCAACATGGTCTAGGGATATTTCAATTAAACATAAATAACTAAAACCCTATTAACTTTTTGTTAAGACACCTATACATTAAAATAAACCTTGTTTAATAGCCTATCTAATCTGATAATAAACTTTTAGATAGGTAAAGTTAAATTTAAAAAAAACTTAGAAGAAAAGGAAAAACACAGACAAAATTTCAATCTTATCTTTATTTTTGAAACATAAAACCTAAACAAAACAACTATTTTATTTATAAAAATTGTTGAAAACTTAAGACTCCTGACAAAAATCTGCAGCGGTTCTGCATACTCAAAACAAGGGTGTCAATATCCTGTTGTGGAATAAAGTCCCAAGTCCTGCTAAGATGCAAGAAAAGCTGGTTTTCATGCACAATATCTTCAGAGAAATTCCTAAGAGCTCTTTTCTGAAACATAATCCCAGGCATGCTCAATAGGATTTAAGTCAGGGGATTGTGCAGGCCAGTCTAAAGCTTGGATGTCATGCCAAGTCAACCAAATGTAACGGCGATACGGCTATAGAGCAGTGGTTCTTAACCTTTAAGTCACGAAGGACCATTTTACCAAATTTCTATCATGTCGGGGACCACTATTTTTTCTTTTCAAAATCCTTTGAAAAGGGAGGTCGATTTCTCGCCCACTGTGCGCCGTTTGCGTTGTGTTTACTCGACTCATCAGGTCACATCACTTGTTTATTACGATGTCTTCGTGGACCACTTGCAATGCCTCCAGGGACCACCAGTGGTCCGCGGACCACCGGTTAAGAACCACTACTCTCTCTATAGTATAGAGAGAGTATGGTTTGCTGGTAAGCGGTCAAACTTAGAGAAGACGACTGCATGAAGTAGGCCTCTTCGGGTACCAGCTCTAAGGAGAGGCAATCGAGGAAGAAGATTACAATGGGCTATTATAATGCACACGAAAACTGGAACCATTCTCAATGGTCACTTATGCTTTTCACTGATGAATCCAGGTTTGAATTTCATCCTGATTCGCGAAGAGTACGCGTTTGGAGAGAACCTGGACGTTGGAATCGACTGCAGCACCCACAACAAGTTCATGCATATCAAGGTGGCACGATTATGGTTTGGGCAGGAATTCGTCTCGGCGGTAGAACGGACCTCGTTTGGATACAAGGCAATTATGAATGCTCTAATATACCGACACGAGGTGCTAGAAGCCTATAATCTTGCCCCACAGACAGCAAATGGGACAAAATTTCCAGCTAATGCACGACAATGCCCGTCCGTATGTGCGCGTGTCGTTACAAGTCGGTTACAACGGCATGATATCCAAGCTTTAGACTGGCCTGCACAATCCCCTGACATATCCTATTGAGCATGCCTGGGATATGCTTCAGAGAAGAGCTCTTAGGAATTTCCCTGAAGATATTGTGCATGAAAAGCAGCTTTTCTTGCATCTTAGCAAGACTTGGGACAGTATTCCACAACAGGATATTGACACCCTTGTTTTGAGTATGCAGAACAGCTGCAGATGTGTCAGGAGTCTTAGGTGGATCCACGGATTATTAATTTAAGGTTTTCAACAATTTTTATAAAAAAAATACCTAGTTGTTTTGTTTAGGTTTTGATGTTTCAAAAATAAAGTTAAGATTGAAATTTTGTCTGAGTTTTTCCTCTTCTTCAATTTTTTTTTTATTTACCTTTACCTAAAAGTTTATTATCAGATCAGGCTTATTAAATAAGGTTTATTATAATGTGAAGGTGTTTTATTTTAGTTATTTAGGTTTAATTGAAATATCCCTAGACCATGTTGATGTGTGTAAATTATAACAATTAACATGTAAAGTTTATACCTATTTCCGCTAAGACCAAGCTGTAATCCAAACATGAATCCTTGACTGTAACCAATATCGAAACTACATTGAAAAGCTGCAGATTGACCATCGGCAGCCCCATCTAGGTACCCAACCTGTAAATAAATCAGTTTTCATTATTATATTTTTTGTACAAAATAGTATTATAAACCAATCTTACTATGACATGTATACCTCTAAACTCAGTCTGAACTGACTTACGAGCATTAGAAGTTTGATGATTTTACATACTAGATCTGAGCCCCGATTACGGTAATTTTTAACGTCTCCAATCCAGACGCGCTTCATAGATTAGTTATTCATAGCTGCTTTTTGCCCGCAAGTTTTGTAAGAAATTGCAACAAAATAGTGACATTGTATGTGTAAACAAACAATACCATCCATTAAAGGCTCCAGACTTCAGTATGGAGCAGAATCAGCGCAATATTTTGATGCAATTTCTTACAAAACTTGCGCGCTAAAGGCAAATCAAGTATACAGGGTGTTAGGTAAATGGGTATATGAGCCGACACTAGCCCATGATAACATGGGCATATAAATGGTATGGTCAAGTCAGAAAATTGATATCTTCATTTTAATTATTTTAATTTTCATACAAATTGGATTTTATAAATTTTATTTTGTATGAAAATTAAAAAATTAAAATGATGATATCACTGACTTCACCATACCATTTATATGCCCATATTAACATGGGCTAGTGTCGGCTCATATACACCGTGTTACTTTGCATTCTTGCCATATTCACAGAGATAAAAGTAGGTAACAATACCTATTATTTAAGATAAACAAGAGACTCCCATAAAGAAAGTACACTAAGATTTTAGTAAATTTGGTTTTTTAGTACAAATTGGAATAAACCAATTTTGTCTCGCACGTTCTACAGGTGCAAGTGGAATAAACCTAGTGGGCGTGGCCTAGTTCTTAATTTTATGGCTATGGGTACCAGCCTTTTTATCCAGTCATAATAACTATTTTAAAATACTCTTCAGTTGATTTCAGATTTTCCTTTCTACTTTACGGGCTTAGGACCGTCAAAAATACGTAGGGTTTCAATTAATTTACAACATTGTACTATTTTTACAAATTAATAAATTAAGTATGAAATGAAATCACCTTTTTCAGAATTAATTATTTATTTATAAGTTTCTACTTACAAAGTTTACGTACTGCGAAGCAAGTGTTCAAAGTCTCCTCCGTTCTGATGAAGGCACAGTCTAGCACGGCGAAGCGTAGGTTTTTCGCTTTAGTTTTCGCAACACATAAACGTTTTGTATCACAGTTTCACTAAAACAATCCTTTCATGTAACGCGTTTACACTGTTTATCTCTTCTGTGCATACCAGTCGATTCAAGTCACTCCAAAAATCCATTGGTGTCAGGTCCGAGGATCGTGGTGGCCAAGCTAGGACCCCTCGTCCAATCCACTGTTCACCAAACGTATTATTCGCGCACTTGACGTCCTTATTGTGGGGGAGCACCATCCTGCTGGTAGTAGAGCATTTGGTGTAACGCTAAGGGTACGTCATCAAGCATTTCGTCTAAGACGTCTTGCAGACACTCCAAGCACCATTTTGATTAAATTATTCGTTGTTTGAATACACTTCAGTCATTTTTGTATTATTTATAACGTGATTTTGTGTTTGATGGATTTCTCAGTTTTTTACAAGTGTCAAAAAGACATTTTAAAGACAATAGATTGCAATAGATATTTAAAAATACAATAAAAAGTAAAAAAGTCTCCATCGCCATCGCCAACATTAGTGATGTGCATGCGTTACGATAATTAGTGGTGTGTTTAACAGATTGTCGATAAAATAAAATACTCAGGATTAAAAAAGAAATTTTTCCGCCATTATTTTTTTACGGATTTGTGTTCAGTATCAGTAATATAGTAACCTCTGTAAATATGGCAAGAATGCAAAGTAACATCCTGTATACCCATTTACCTAATACCCTGTATATACTCATCAAACGTTTAATGCTCGTAACTCAGTTCAGACTGAGTTTAGAGGTATACATACCATAGTAAGTTTGGTTTATTACACTATTTTGTAATAAAAAAACAAAGCTTGGTCGATGGCCGCGCAAAAAAGAAAAGACGCCACCTTCCATACAAAATCTGGCATTGCCATTTTATCTTTTTAATATCTTTTATCCCCGGAAATGCGTTCCTAAAATTCGAGAGAGAGTTCAATGCAGTCTCAACTTCCGCAAGGAATGCTCTATTCTATTGCCTGCTATTGCCTTGACTTGAATGTGCAGGCCAAGGATGCGCGTCACAACGATTTTCGCGGCATTTTATCATTTTTGCATTTGCACCTATGGAGGGACTAAGAGATTGTAGGATTGCAGGATTACTCCCCTCCATAATATGGTTTCCGTGGTACTTATTTTTGGATCTATTTCGGAAGTAAGTCGCTGTTGCTCATATCAATATTGACATGGTACGCTCATAATCACTGACTGATTTCATGTTCGGCATCAAAATGCACGGTTAGCTACTTGGGGCTCTATATGTATAGAGACCATTGCACGATAAGATTTTTTTATACCCTATCATACCTAGTTAGAAGATGATCTTTGTTCATAATTCAAAGGTGACTGACTGACTGACATAGTGATCTATCAACGCACAGCCCATACCACTGGACGGATCGGGCTGAAATTTGGCATGCAGGTAGATGTTATGACGTAGGTATCCGCTAAGAAAGGATTTTACGAAACTCCACCCCTATACTTAAGGGGATAAAACGGGATCCACGCGTACGAAGTCGCGGGCGGCCGCTGGTAAGTAATACAGTCTTTATTGCCATAGTTCCTCTGTAGTTGAAGTTCCCTTCCACCTTCAGCCTAATCAGTAATCATCAGTTTCCACCAGGTGTGATGAAGGGCAAGAGCTTCCTCGTTGAAAATAAAAACATGTTCTTTCCAGTTATTTTCTCTAAATCTGTTTTACGTAATGTAAACTTAGAGGATTCCCAATATTAATTCACTCAAAGAAAGTCAAAAACATGTAACGGAATCTCCGACTTACCACTTTGTGGAGCGATTACAGGAAATAGTGGCCCATTAAGTACATGTTTTTTTGTATTAGGTATTATGAATGTTCAGGAAACGGCGCAGTTTTTAAAATGGTTTTGGACCTATGGAAGTTCTTTTTTTTATTTAAACTTTAAAGTTGAAAATTTGATAGTGTTCTGCTAAAAGCATAATAAAATTTTAATGTTTCTAGCAAAAATTTTGTATCTTGCATCAAAGATAGGAAGGTGATATTTTTTTCAAACATCTGCACTTAATAACGAATCTGTCAAAGAAAAGAAATCTGAGAAAAGTCAACCCAAAAAAAAGGTAAAAATTTTGTAAGCCTACAAGGGTCGTCATAAAATTCAGTGTTTTTCAACCTTTTTCATGACACGACCCCCCCTAGTATGAAAAAATGTTTGGTGACCCCGACCGTTCGCTTTTTTTTCATGCATTTTATAATGTTGCAAAGATGTTTGTAGGGACCGAATACTTCAATACATACAACATTTGCATAATTAGATTTCGGATTAATCTGTCTTTATAAGATTTTTTTTACTGAGGTAGTTTTTACGACCTCTCGCGACCCCCCTACAGAGGCTTCGCGACCCCCCTACAGAGGCTTCGCGACCCCCCAGGGGGTCGCGACCCACAGGTTGAAAAACACTGCACTAAGCAATATCGTAGAACATACATGGGATGATTTAAATAAACCTTGATGTAAGAAATCTAAATTATTCTTCTAGACCTTACCATGGACCTATAAAAAAAGGCGGACGGAGTCTCATCAACAAAATACTGTGACATTAGGTTACACCAGCTCGCCTGTACGTACAGGCCGGCACGCACACATTCACACCCTGTTACACCACTTCGAGTGCAAACTTCACATAGTTGACACATTTAGGCGGCGAAAAATAAAACAAATAACGTCATGTCTTGTGTGGTGAAATGGTGTAAAAACCGTTCTGATCGAACGAATAAAAGTCAAGGAATCACATTTCACAGGTAAACTAATAATTCAATCACTTATTTCCCGATTTTATAAACATTAAAATATTAAAATCAAATGTCATTCACCCGAAAAAATTAATACGTCAAAGGCCAGTGTTCTCAGTTATTTACGTGGGAAAATTACCCGAAATATGGGAATTTATAATTTTAAGACTTTTTAGTTGTTTATTACGGCATTACTAGGCATTTTCTTTTAAAATTACTTTTTTATTAAATTTTGTACACTAGATTTCCTAATGAAAATGAAATATGGAAAAATGATTGGATTCAAATAATAAGAAATTGTAACAACGACAACGATTGGATCCCAAGCAAACGTTGTGTCATTTGCAGTTGTCACTTTGAAGAAAATGACTTATATAAGTACGACTAAAGGAGGACGCCGGCGTATTGTTACATATGCATTGCCTCAAAAGGTTAATTAAAATCTAAAGTAAATGGCACGGTATAATTTTGTCTAGGTATATTTCCAAGTAACATATCTGCCGATCTATGTTTTTCTTAAAATAAATGGGTAAAATGTTTTGGCTAACATGGCATCCCTAAATTCACTCACACAATAGACAAACGCCAAAATTTTGCGTCACAGTTTTGTTGTAGCGCGAGTTCCGTCCGCCTTTTTTTATAGGTCCATGGACCTTACTGTTTTGGCCACCTTGTATGTAGCAAGCCTGCTGCGACAAGTTGGCTGAGTGGCATCCAACATGTTAATGGTCCAGAGAGGTATTTTAGATGAATGAAAATCATTTTACATTAATTATTGAATTCGCTAACCTTATTTATAGGCTCGATAATGCGACTCCATGTATTCGCACATAAGTTAGATTCTTCATTCATGGCAGTGTAATTCAGTGTAATTTTAATTTTATTGACAACGTGACAATTTGACTGAGCAATTTGGTAAACAAAAATAAATATGGCCGACAGACGTTAGTTTATTTTGTTCGATATTTCCTTTTGTAGGAAAAGGCATTACGCCATACAGTTTTCAGATTTTATTTTCCTTAATTTAATGACCTTAAACCCCTTAGATTATATTAAAGCCTTACACCTAAGCCATAAACTATGATGTTATTTAGACCCCTTAGGTTTTAATAAAGTTGTGGAGATTTATTTTTACAAATATGTACCTACTTCACAGTTATGGTATTTTTTTATATTTGGCTGTATGGACGAGTTTCTAAAGTTGTAAATCTCGTTTTAAAAATAATCATGTCTACCTACATTTTTGACATTAATGACATTCATGGCGTAGGAGAGTCTATGTATGTTGTAATAATTTTCCAATTTCTAGTTTTAGAGATCTTCAAAATAAACGATGGTCGTGGGCGCTTTTCCCATTGCAAAATTGTCTGTACTTCTTATTAAACAGATAAGTAAACCAATCGCAAATGTCTGTAAAGAGCGAGCCAAAAGTAATCCATTTTTTAGAACGTACGTTTGTATGCCTCCCGCTCAGTGTAAGTGAATGATTTTAAAAATACCTACTTACAATACTTAGTTGTACTTTAATAAATATTTAACTCTTATTGCAGTCTACAACTGGTGTGAAGTCAAGGCAAAAATGTGGATTCTCAATCTCGGAAAACCTGTAAATATACCAGTCCTGAGTCAGGAAATGGCCATTGAGTTGGGTGCCAATCTTCTTGGTGAAACAGTAATTTTTGTTATTGGTGCTGGATTGCTTATATTTGAATATAACAGGTTATATATTTGGATGGTAATTTGAGAATTGTATTTGAATAACTCAAAGTTTATAAACTGACTGAATTATTTTAAATGATTACAGACAAAGTAAAAAAGAAACTGCAAAGGAAGCTAAGCGAGCAGAGGAAATGAACCATATTACAAGTACTATAACAGACCTATACTTCACAGTGCAACAGCAGCAAACACAGCTAAGGGAAATGGAAAGGGTAATTCATTCCATAAGTAAGTATACTCACTAATAAATTTTATAATTAAGGAATTGTGTCATTTTTAGTAATTTTTTTTATAAACATTTTTTCTTTCTTTCTAATCTCCTCTTTACTTGTTTTAGGTGGCAAGAAACCTGTTATAGTTCCTCCAATTGCTAATGAACCTTCTCAGCCACCTCCAACTTCCCCACCATCTAGTCCTAAACCGCAAAATATGAGCAATGTAAGGCAACCAGAAATAGGCATTTCAACATATACACCATATCCAAATATGGGAATTATTCTTCAGTCTCTGAACTATATACAAATGGATGTCTTTACTTCTCTTTTTCCTGAAAATGGTGCTAAGAAAGAAGACAACACTGATGGAAAACAACAACAATATAGAAGAGAGCCTGCACTCTTGTCTGCAACATTATACAATATAGAAAACAACTTTAAAAGTTTGTTTTAAACTTGTAAGTACTTAGTAAGCATTATCCACTGTAAAGGTGAGATTATTGGAAGCTTGATGACCGCAAATTAGTTTATATTCCAAAACTAGGTTTGGCCTGCAGTTATGCTCAAATTTGACAAAATGTTATTGTTTTTAGGTTGCTATCTGTGTAAGTGATGTTAAAAGAACAATATCTAATGCACTTTTAATAGTAAAGGAGTAGATAATACTGAAAACCAATGTGCGAAAGACCTCTTATCTCCTCCTTTTTAATAATTGAGAGACAACAGTATGTCAGTCCTCTCATACTATTATAGTATAATGACTGTGGTTAAATATGCCTTCGAATGTTGTGCATTTTAATTTGTTAGCTGCGTGGTAACTAAAAATTACAATGTTTGAATTGTTTGAAGTCAATCAGTTGGATTAAGTACTACTCAGTGTGCATATCCAGTTATTATCTTATTTGCTTAATTTTATGCAGATATTAGAAAAGGTCTACCAAATAACTTACTTTATTTTGATACATAACTGAAATTTAAATTGTCTTTGCATTTATGTAAAAAAATTGTATAAAATGTATACCAAGCTAAAGAACCCTACTTTAAAATATTCACTAGTGTTAATTTTGAGTCACTTAGCAAATATATTAGGTATTTAGTGTCTGGGTGTTATAAAGTCCAATTTTACGATGATGCATACAAACACCTTTACATAAACCACTGGGAACTAAATAACACATTGTACCAACATGTGTGGTCTACTTGCATATTTTTTTTTAAATAACATGGCAGCATTCCACATTTTCAAAAAGTGTTAAAAACTTGGAATCCCTGGTTTAATTTATTACTAATACGCTGAGAGATGTGTTTATCCTTTATGTATATATATGAGTATTTTATTTGTTGTTTGTAGTGAGTAGGATTTCTTAGGACTTTGTTTACTTTTTTATGTTATACTTCACCCAGTAATCTGTGATTAAATTATTATTATACATACATGATTATTAATAAATACCTACAACCTTGTTTCCCTGTCCTAAAAGGGCGAAGAAATTACGCTAAATTTAATGTGTATGTGCATTCTTTAAAAGATATTTACTGTGGTTGCTTGGTCATTTTTGAAATACCTAACCTATCGTTATCCCAAATTCGCCGAATTTCCAAATATAATATGTATAGGAACATACCGAAATTCGTTATTGGGTGGATTTGATTTGACTAGTTAGTACCCAAGTGATATTAAATAAGTGTAAACAATAAAACTTTCTTTTTGTTATTATTTTATTGCTCTAACCATTCAGCCATATAAATACAATCTTGTGGAGTTACAAGACCTGTAGAACAACACTTGTGGATTAATGGGCAGACACCACAAGGCACTTGCACTAAGCCAGGAGATGGTATAAGAGCCTCAATCGCTCTATAGACTTTGCTGCCATCAGAGTACACACTACTCTCTGCTTTACCATCATAGACTAAAGTGTTCAATATAGTAATCACATCTTCAACTTCTAGTTTTACCTGTAAAATAAAAATATTGCTTTAAGTACTAGGTACCTACTTTTAATTTTCAGTCCCTGTTTACTTATCTAGGATTTGAGATAACTATAAAATCATATTTAATTGCCTCAAGCTAATGTGGAGATAGAACCTGTAACCTCTGGCATAATAGGAAAGGCATGGTAGGTCTAGATCAGTGGTTCTTAACCTTTAAGTCACGAGGGACCATTTTACCAAATTTCTGTCTTGTCAGGGACCACTTTTTTTTTTCGATTTCTCGCCCACTGTGCACAGTGCGCCGTTTGCGTTGTGTTGACTCGACTCATCACGTCACGTCACTTGTTTATTACGATGTCTTCGTGGACCACTAGGAATGCCTCTAGGGACCACCGGTTAACCCTACAGTGGTCGCGTGGATTACACCCGTAATCCACTCGTGCAAATTGTCGAATATTTTGAAATCGGTCAACGCGATCGTTTTGATACTTCGTGTACTTTAAGTTGCATAGTCGAAGATCACACTTAATGACGTGTGAGCGCCAGGTCGCTTGTGGATGTGTCGCAGGAGCCCCGTAAATGCCAATGGTCTACCCGTGTAATCCGCGCGACCAATTACGTAAGTATTTTTTAAGTAACCTTTTTTACTTAATGTGTTTGTTTTTGCATTATTAGTGTAAATTAATGCTTTATAATAAATAATTACGGTATAGGTATGTATTTACATTGGTGTTTTCATTAAAATCATTGTATTTTAGATAAAAATCATGAACAACAGACAAAAAGCACAAATTGCGGAATGGCTAGAAGTAATTGACAATGAAAGCGTATCTTCTAGCGACTCTTCGGTTTCTGATGCAGAAGTGCACATTCTTCCACAAGAGAACAAGTTTCTCAGACCAGTGATTAGCCATCTAACTCAGAACCATCACAGCGGAGGTTTTTAGGTCGCTACTTTGACTGCGGAAGAAAGCGAAATAAAGTTCTGGAAATACTTGTAATTCGTGCAACAAATTTATTTGTCCTTATCATTCCATGATGGCCTGTATCTCTTTTTCAAAATATAATTAATAAATAAGTGCAATTAGTACTGAATAATTTCTGAACTGCCAAAGTTGACATTTTCTTGATGAAAAATAATGATTTTTATGTTTTGGTTAATTTATAAAAACTGAGAAGAACTTCTTGTTTCTTTGTTTGATTATTTCATTAACTAATACATAACAATAAATATAAAAAATAAAGAAACATGTTTTTATAAAGAGATGTCTTCTTTTTTTACTCCATAAAATGGCTTACGCATGTAATCCACGCGACCATTTACGTAATATTTTAGAGCGCGACCACCGTAGGGTTAAGAACCACTGGTCTAGATACTCAGCAACAATGACTTGAGGACAACACCTAATAGAGATTTTATGAATTAGGTGTTAAACATACTTTAACATAACATAAAATTGCATTAAAGGTCTTTTTAGGGTTTTTTACCCAAAGAGTAGGTAAATTTTGGTTTTTACATTTATTTATAATATTTAATTAGGAAAACAAACACTTTTGATATAGGTACAAAACACAAAAAATAGGACAGAAATCAACAAAGTTTCCATAGTTAAAATGAATAATTAAAATAAATTAGGTACAATTATTTGTTATACTTACGTTGCTTATGCCTAGATCCGTTATATACTTTTGAACTTCTACAGCTGTAGCATATGATTGTGTTCTCCCAATTATTGGTCCCCTTGGATTATTTTTTATTTTGTCAGCCCTTTGTTGCAGGAATCTGAGGCATTGACGGTTAAGTATGTCCACAAATTCAGATTCAAAGTCCTGATCTTGGTACCAAGCACCTCCAGACACTGATCTGTCAGGTTCTAAATTGTAAAGCATGTACACTTTCTTCTTGGAGGCCTATAAACATATCAAGAATTTAGTCTTTAGTAATGATAACAAAATGTAAAATTTACTTGGATTTGAATGTTATTTAATTATATTTATACTTACATTTACACATTTAACAGCTTTGATAAGTTTCTTGCTCTCCAAATTCTTCAGTACCTTTGTTAGTTGTGTATTAGCAAGATTTGAACCATTCCTTATATCCCGAATCCATATACCCTTATTTCCTGCTTCTTCAATCAAGTTAAATACAACTTTTTCTTCATTATCTGCTCCTTTAACAGCTTGTTTACTTGACTGAGCTTTTAACCTAAATTGAAATTATTTGAACAGTTTTTGTATTTACAAAAAAAAAGTTAACAATCTGAAAATTTTGTGAAAGTAGCCTATTTGAAATTTCTTTCATATTTTAAGAGTTGCTAATGACATCATAAATAAAAAATGTAGCGTTGTACCTACATAAATTGGGACTTTACTCAAAAATAATCTATTTACCTGTAAACCAAAGAGCCTCCTTGTTTATAAATATCGAAACACCCCTGTTGCAATAGTTTGTTGATTGTGGCGACAAGTTCGGCTGCTGTGAGATCGGGTATAGCTGTGGTTATATCATTATCAGTAATACCTTTTGGATTCTTCTTTGCAATACTTAAGATTTTCTCTTTAAGTTCGTCTTCTGATGATTCACTCATAGTAGCTATTATTTAAAACCACAGGCACAGTATCTACCAAACCAAAGTACCAAGTTCTTCTATTTATTTTGCTTCCCTGTGCGAAATGTGCGAATAATTTACTCTGTCCTCCACGCTCTCAGCTGTTTTTTTCATTCTTTGTGTCTGTCAGTCAAACTGTCAAGAGCACAGTGCACAGAGCACAGATAAAGATAGATGCAGCATGTGTCAAAATTTGTATGAAGCCGAGCGTGCCACTTTTTAAACGTCNTGGTAAAGGACAAGGCACAAGTGGATTCATTTCCTGAAGAGACAATTGGGAGAGACGATAGATAGTTCTCAACACCTTCTTTAAAAGTATTCCAAGCATTACTAGTTTTGTCTGGTAATCTGTGTTTAAGTAATGGAACATACTTAGATGTTATAGGACTATTAAATGGAAAAGTAATTAATATGGGGAAGTGGTCACTGCCATATGATGAAGGTAGAGTTTGCCAAGATAACAGAGAGGCTAGGCTAGGGGAACATATTGACAAATCAACAGCACTTTGACTTTGGCCTGGACTGGTAAAACGGGTAGGAGATCCTGTATTTAATGTACATAAGTTATGAGTGTCAATTATATCTAATAACATTTCCCCATAGTTATTTGAAATAGAACTGCCCCATGCACGATGATGACAGTTAAAATCTCCTAAGATGATCAGAGGTTTAGGGAGAGTTGAGATTAATTGATCAATTTCACTTAAGATAGAAGAAGAGGGGTGAGGTATGTACATAGACACTAAACAAAAATTATAAATATTTATTGCTATAATAGAAAATTCGTTACTATGATTAGGGATTGGAATTGGACTAAAAGAGACAGATTTGTTGATAAATATGGCTACTCCACCATATCCATCAATTCTGTCTTCCCTGATAGAATTATAACCATTAACTTTAAATTTTTGATTGGGTTTAAGCCAAGTTTCTGCCAGAGCAAAAACAAAAGGCTCAATCTTATTAATCATATGAAAAAAGTCACTCTTTTTGCTGATGATACTCCGGCAGTTCCATTGCATTGCCTTC